GTACCCAAAAGCTGCTACCAAAATGGGGATTTCTTTGGTGCCTTGACACACACCACAGTGCAGGAAGTAGGTGCTTGGAAAGCAAAAACTTGTTAGGTAGAGTTTGTGTTAGACACCACTCTCCTGCCCAAGAAAAACCTCACCCAAGCCATTAGAGGGATTCCTTGACATCGGAGAATTCCTTTGCTGCATTCAGAATTACTTTTATTTTTTTAGTAAAAACTTTTTCATTTAAAACACATTTTAAACATGTTTTATGCATGTGAATTTGTTGGCCCTCCACAATTAGCAAGTTGTTTCTCAAGGTTAGATGCTACAAGCAGCATTACAGAAATAGTAACCATAATAACCACACAAGTAACTCATGCTACTTAAACCTTTAAAAAAAATATTAAAAAGAGCAGGGAGAAACAAAAATGGCGTACAAAACGGTATACAAACTGTCTGTGGATCACGTTTTTTGCTAGGTATGCCTTCTCACATCTCCTGTATGAGAACGAGCTTCTTCCAGCTAGCAATGTGAATGAGAGCAGAGAGTGCACAGCTGGCCAGATGTGCCAGGTCCCTTCCCTCTTGGCAGATGAGGTTTGCCACAGTGAGAACCTTAACAGAAAGGACTCGCCTTTCAGATGCCTTATCAACATCTCACTTGACCAAGGTGAAGTGCATCTGATTTTAGAAGGAAAAGTTTTCCCTTCAGTTAAACTAGCAGGCTCTTCTGTGGAGTTTTAAGATTTCTCCTGCAGTACAATGGGAGGAATCCATCCTGAGATCATTTGATATCTTTATTAACCAGTTTCCTGATACTGCAAAGGTCTTCCAAAAAGACCTTGCCATTCTCAGATTGCATCATGCAAGGGCTAAGGGTTAAAATCACTTTATTCCAATATAATGTTTTTACCCTTTTATTTAGAACCAAATTTAATAATGCAGTAATGTCTTCTGACTTAAGTTGACTTTAAAGCAAGCAATTCCTGGGGCAAGGGAGAGTTCAGATTGGGAAGGGGCTGAAAAACGTTATCCCCATAGCAGAACAAGGAGTCACGTTCTGCACCACTTCCCTATTGTAAACAATTAAAAATAACAGGGGAAAGAAAGGGAAGAAACACACCAAAATAAAGTGCAAAAACACCTGGAGAAGTTCAGTTCCATCATTTTACCATAGCAGAAAACTTTGGTAGAGCCTTTGTGAATATCTTCATTTTAGAATCCGTAACTGGAATTTCCATTTGCATCAGTATAGGACTTGCCAACCAGCAGCTAGGGGATTCAGTTAAGATGCAAATGGTAGGAAGGTATCATCAGGATTTGTACCACAAACTAAATTTGCAAGTTTGTAATTTCTTGTCAATGCTTTTCCATGAAAACCTGCAAAATCAGTCCTTACAGTTTCCATTCAGTGATACTCTACAAATTATTCACTAAAAATAGCCCCTCCTCTTAGGGAACAAAGGCAGTTATAGTTTCTCTAATTTCTCACCTACTTTTCCTGCATTTTCATTTCAATGCACAACACAAAGTTACACATCCCTCAAATGCCTTGACACTGCCTATAAAAGCAAGTACTGAAGACATTGCACTGTTATTAAAATATTAAATGTAATTTTGTTTCCTTTTTAATGTGAAAGCATTGTCAAGTTTTACTTATCCTTCCATTTTTAAAGAAGTGACTGAAGTTTGAGATGATGTATGATGAAGGAGGAATACAAAATGCTGACTGTTGCTCAAGGTATCTGCTTTGGAGGTTGGTTGGTTTAAGTATTTCACTAGAAGCCTTTTGTTAACTTTGTGTTTCTTAAGTCACCTAGCATTAATACATACATCTCCTTGAAATTATATATAATATGCCAGATACTGGTTTTACTGCAAACTCTGAGGTGTTGCTTCATGTTCATTAGGACCTGGGAACTCCAGTCTTGATTTCACAGCAGGTTTTGTTAGAGATGCTGGTTTGGTGCAAGTTAAAGGAGTCAGCAATCCCAGAAGTGACAAGATGTTAGAGCTAATCGACCAAAGATGGAAATCATGCTTAGCATTACACAAAAGGCCACAGACTTGGGCATCTGAGCTAGAAAATGCCAGATTTTTTGTACTGATGCAAAGTTAACATATGCACTAGGTGGCTGAATTTCTGGATGTTGTTCCCTAAACCCTGAATATTGTCCTCATGTAGACTGGATACAACAGAAGAGTTGTACAGTAAAGTGTGATGTTTCTTCATATGCCAACTTTGGGTAAGGATACCTGACAATAACAACTTATACTCTAATTTCAGCATACCACTGATTCATTTCGGCAAGTTACAATACATAGAACAACTTCCCTGTGGGTTTTCTTGATTTTCTAGGAAAAATAACCAGAAGACATCAATCCTGAATATTCAGTCAGCTGACATATGTAAGATCTCTAGCCAGATTAATGGTTACACTTCTAGCTACCTATATAGTTATTAATTCTTTAGCCTTTTAGATAGATTAGATAGGAGTGACATAATTTTGAAGCAGTTCATATGCAAGTCCATTAAGAGAAACCCAGTGTAATGATCCAAAGATCATTAAAACCAGTGGACACCCACTTACCATTGAATGGAGTCGCAAGTCTCAACTCATTTCACTAGACAAATAATGATCTACTATATAGTAAACAAGGATAAACAGAATTGCTTTGGCTTTAAAACTCCTAAAATACCCCTAAATATTTTCCAGAAGACATCTGGTAAAATAACACTTACGGTGAGCATGGACATACTGGTCAGTACAACAAAAATAATTGGAGCCTGTGACACATGAGGAGAGGCTGAGAGAGCTGGGACTGTTCAGGCTGGAGAAGAGCAGGTTCAGGGGGTTCTTACAATGTGTGTAAGTACCTGATGGAGGTGCAAGGAAGCAGATTTAGCAGCCTCTTCTCAGTGATGCCCAGTGACAGGACAAGAGCCAAGGGCACAAACTGAAATACAGGAAATTGTTTAAATATAAAAATACCTATTTACTGTGAGGATGCTCAAACATTAGAACAGGTTGCCCAGAGCGCTTGCAGAGTTTGTCCTTGGAGATGCTCAAAACCTGAGTGGAGAGGACCTGAGAAACCTGCTCTGGCTGAGCCTGCTTGAGCAGAGGGGTTACAGAGGACAACCTCCAGAGACTGCATTCAATCTCAATGATGATGCAATTGCAGACTGACCCCGCATTAATACTCGGCAAGGATAGTTTCCAATCAAAGCGAAGTATGCCATCAGTTGCAGAAAAATCTAAATTTCTACCACTTCCACAGAAAGACATTTACATCTGTTGATGCAGGTGCCTTGTTACGGATTTCTGTTTGGGTTTTCATGTATACCATAATCAAGGGATTTAGAAATTTTTGTCTCTGCTTCCACTAATATGGTATAACCAGTGACAAAGCATAAGCAAATGGCACAATAAACTCAGAACTTAAAAGTTGTCAAGCTCCTTGGCACTGTGGAAGCATGAATCCTCCTATAATGACAGAAGAATTACATTTTAGACAGCATATTCTAATCAACTTTGGGGGAAAAAAATAAATGCAAATTGCAACTTTACAGTAATTTTACATTTAATAACAACTTGAGTTGATACCTGGAAAGGTCCACTGCTTTAATAGCTGTTTCTCATACTACAGCAGCTTTCTTTTAATTCAGAAAGATAGTTTCAGCAGGCTCGAAGGCCCTGCAGTGCATCAAGTAAAGCACTTAATGCAAGTTCTCATCAATACAGTGAATGGATCACCAGTAGAATTTAAAATAGAATTAAAAGCTCCATCTTCCTTTGCCAGTGTAGCTTCAAAACACCTACAGTTCTTGTTTCATACATAAAAGAAACAGTTACATTACTCTATAGTTACCTAAAGTGTTGATTATATACAGACAACACATAAAAGTACACTACCTTTGTGTAAATCAAGATTTTACGGTTTATTGCCATTTGTTTACATTTTTTGCGGGGTATTTTTGGTGTAGCTTGACCTGAAACCATTAGACATATCCACATAGGGTTTTTTTCAAGAGTTAACTCTTTCATCACACAGTGATCAATCCTCTACATTCATCTTCTGTAGCTCTCTCAATTCCAGTTTTACAGAGTTTGTGAGGACTGACACTACTGAAAAAGTACAAGTTCAAACACTCCTATACAAACAGACAAACTAGACAGAATATTGCAGGTAAGGCTACTTTTTCCCCCCATTCTTTTTTTTCATATATATATAAATTTGTTTAAACCAGGCACAGAGAACTTTGGAACACACAATATTGAAAGCCACCTATGATAATCTCTGAAGGTCAGGCGCTTGCAAATTGCACAATCAAGCATTCATCCCTATAGCTTTAACAATGAATACACAGATCTTGTTTCCTCAGCACTCCAAGTGAATTGCACGTTAAACACAGTGCTTCTAAAACTGTACCGTATTTACCAGAGTAAGACTGCAGGTGAGATAATTCAGTGCCACCATGTTCTACTCAGCCGTGTGCTTTACTTCAACAGAGCTGACTGCTCGAAGGCCGGTCTCACAACAGTGAAAACGCATGCACAACTGAACCGAGGGCAGGCAATGGCAGGGCTCGCAGGTACAGCGTAGAGGTTCATCGTGGAGCATGACAGGAAAAAGTACTCTAACTCTGTGAGAGAACCAGTACTTACACACATAAATTAAGGAAAACTGCATTGTCAAACTGTACTTTTACATGAAGTTCAAGCACAAACTTTTCCCAAAATTCCCAATTTGCCAGAAAGCTCTGAAGAACATATCCCCCCCAGCAGACTTTAAAGATGTGTAATTCTGTACATTCAATTCCACATTAAATCACAAAATAAGCACTCACTTTTCAGCCACCTGTGAATTTAACAAAAAATCCCTCATGATTTAAGATTAGCAAATGCATTTCCAATCTCTAGCTCCATGTAACGTTACTAATAATATGTCCTGTTAGAGAAATTCTCAAAACATACATACAATAGATAGTGTGGATAAAGAACACAGCGAACACATTATCTCCATTCTCTCTAACAAATACCTAGTGACTATGTGCAGTGTTTTAATGCTGATGTTAAAAATTACACGGCTCCTCTTCTTCCAGCATCGTTTTATTTACTTGTAGCAAGGATTAGAACTTCAGAAGTGCAGATACAATGTGGACTGTGAAGAGTACAAATTAGTGCTTGTTCCACATAGGTGCTGCTATAGGTCCCTGCGGAGCCCTTTCAACAGTCACAAATTCATCAGGGTTGTCAAATGCTTCATAGTGGATTAGTAAATCTTGAATAGCACACTCCTCGATCTGGAAGGAAAGAAGAACAGTGTCAGAACTGCAAATGTATGAACTGGCTTTACTGGTCCTCAATGCCTGTCTGCCACAGACCTCCTAATCAGGGAGAAGGAGTAGATGAGGCCTTTGCGAAGGTTTAACAAAGAGGAACCTCATGAAGTTCAACAAAGGGAAATGCAAAGTCTGGCTCCTGGGAAGAACAAACCCAAGCACCAGCCCACACTGGGGCTGTCAGGATGGAAAGCAGCTTAGCACAACAGGATCTGGGGTCCTGGTGGACATGTTGACTATTAGCCAGCAATATGCTCATGTGGCAAAGAAGGGTGGCAGCCTCCTGTGCTCTACAAGGGACAGTGCTGCCAGCAGATTGAGACAGGTGATCCTTCCCCTCTACTCAGCACTGGTGAGACCTATTTGGAGTGCTGGGTCCACTTCTGGACTCACTGGAACCGGTGCAGTGAAGGGACACAGAAATGATTAAGAGCTTGGAGCATCTGACATATGAAGAGATGCTGAGCAGGCTGCAGTTGTTTAGCATGGAGAAGAAAAGACAAGCAGTTCAAAGTGTGTAAATATCTGATGGGAGAGAATAAAGATGACTGAGCCACGCTCTTCTCAGTGGTGCTCAGTGACAGGAGAAGAGGCAATAGGCACAGACTGAAATACAGAAAATTGTACTTTAATATTAAAATATGTTTTCCCTGTGAGAATGGTTAGACACTGCAGCAGGTTTCCCAGAGAGGCCACAAAGTGTCCATCCTTGCAAAAGCTGCCTAGACACAGCATTGAGCAAGCTGCTCTAACAGACCCTGCTCTAAGCAGGGGTTTGGATCAGACTATTTCCAGAGGCTCCTTCCAACCTTAACCATTCTCCGATGCTGTGAACACGTTAATTATGCAGTCAGTAGTCAATCTGTCTTTAATATAAGCCTACCTTATCAAACAGCAATGTGAAGTTATCATTAAATAATATTTTATATCATTATGTAAATGATACTAAGTGTACCAACACATAATTAATCCTAAAAACTGATCTCTGAAACAGCCATTTGAAACTCCTTGTGTTACTTCACAGCTGCAGCAGCTTAGCACTTTACCTGGATCAAAGCCAAAGGTTTTTCTCTGCTCCTAATAAGAGCAGCTTCTTGCTGGAGCTCTTCCTCTACAATAGCTGAAAACATGACAGGTGCCATCACAGGAGAGCTGGTTGGTGATGCTGCTAACCAAGGACTGCAAAAAAAAAAACCCCAACAAATGACATTATGAGGTAACATCACGAATGAGGTCAGCACAACACACAGAAAACAAGCTCCAAAACCTAAGCCAAATCTAAATCAAACTTACTTATGGCTTTCCAGCTGTGGAGAATCCAGAACATGGTCTTCCAGACCTGGGCTGCTTCTAGTGATGCACCTGGAAAAAGGCAGAACAGGAGAGTGAAAATCACTGAGAGAACATTTTCCAACATCACGTCTGTACTGTGGAGTATAAATTTACAGTAGGCAATTACAAACGTGTAGGGTTTTTTCCAGAAGAAGAGCATTACGATGTAAGCCTGGATTTGTCTCTAACTGTGATACTGTGATGCTCATTTCTGACTACCAGCACTTAATGGATTTCAGCTTGGGCGTTAGTTCTGGCATTTCCTAACATTTGAGCATTTGAACAAAGGTGCTTTTTTTGTTTTTAAAAAGGAGGTTTTTAACATGTAAGGTAGTCAACTGAGTTACGCACTAGCAGCACTGACTGTAAATGTTTAGAACTAATGTGAAAAGAATATGGTTCAAGATTAAAAAAACAAACAAAAACCAAACCAAACAACCATCCTGTGTTCAAATTAAGCATTTCATGTAAGAAAACCAGTGCTACAATAGCACTAGTAAATTATTTCCTCAAGTCTAAGACCAGAAATTATGGGGTTTCAGTATGTATTATTCTGCAACCACCTCCCACATTCATAAGAATAGCATAAAATTAGAATTAACAGAATTGAAAAAGAATTGACATATCAATAGAGCTCCCAACGGGAAGGTAATTTATTCAGTTGCAAAATGTTAACCTCTCAACAGAGAGATGCCACATTTGGTATACTGCATGCCTTAAGAGACAAGTTTATTTGTCAGAATAATCCTGTATCAATCAGAAGAGTGTGCCCTATTCTCATTACTCAGTACCTATTCTTTGGCAACTCTGAAAAACTGTTAGAGCATGCTATGAAATGCTGGCAGACTTTTTAAAATTGTTCTGTGGCATTGTAAAAAAACTCTAAGGGCGTTGGTATTTAAATAAATCGGTCTCAATTTTCTTTAAGGCTTTAGTAATCCTCTTTAAGTGGCCACAAACTCTTGGAAAAGAATAAAAACCTATAGAAAACTAAGAGAGTTCCAGTAACTGCTAAGTTCTCTGCCTGGAATATTTTCCCCAGAACACAAATCCAAGGACAACACGAACCACGGTTCCTACCGCTAAGCGGGCAAAAACTCTGAAATGCAAGATCCAGCACAACAAATGGCATTTCAATAAACCATGCCCAGCTTTTTGTCACAGAATATAATTCTGCACACCAAACAGCCAACGACTCAAACAACAGAATGAACAAATGTAACTTCTCAGGAAAAAATATATATATAACTGCAGCAACAGCTGCCAGGGCATAACACTGGACTTCAAAAGAGGCTTTCAACAGTGTCGCTCCCTTGAGTCAAACCCAGCAGATACATCTCCTGCCAGGACATACAGCTTCGGTGGGTCCACTGGGAAAGCACAGTTCGTGGTAGTCAAGGCGACCCTTCCCCTCCATTTTCAGTAACGGTGATCATATCATACACTAGTGGGACAGCCAGTGGTGCACTGCATGGAGAGGAAACTAAAGAGGTTTCCAAAAAGGAAGAAAAAAGGCATATGTCCAAAAAGGCCATTTACAGATAACCACTGTTCCAGAGCTTTGAAAGAACTGACACATAAAACAACAGCTCCATGGCAAGAGAGGTCAAATCTACTGCACCATTCTCCAGATTGAGTATCTACATAGCTGCAGTTCCCTTATTTTGACCTTATTAATATGCAATGCTTTTTCCACAGGTATTGAAGAAAAGTTAAAAAATGGAAAAAAAGGTAGAAAATCAATATCTTGTAATTTGTTTTTCTGTTTTATCTGCAGCAAAAGAAAATCAGTGGCAGCTTAGACAATCCTATTTTATTTAGGAAAGGTGTCGGGTCATGCCAGACAAATGTGATAAACAAATATAGGAATTCTGTAAGACCCTGAGCCATGTGCCACGTAACAATTTACCTTTTGTAAACAAGCTGCTGGATTGAGGGGCTTTGGGATTGTAGATTAGCTGTACAAAGTCCAAATGGAAACCAAACACTAGTGGTGGTCCTCAGGAACCAATACTGGGTCTGGTGACTCTTCCCCTCTATGCTGTATTTGTCAGTCTACATTCACAGTACCATACCCAGTTCAGGGGCTCCTGAATACAAGAGCGATGCTGTCAGGCTGGAACAAGTCCAGTGAAAGGCCACCAAGATCAGGGGCTGGAGCACACACCAGAAAGAACTGTGTTTTGTTAATCCTGAAAGTGGCAAAGGGGAGATCTCATTGCTGTCTCCAACTACTTAACTGGAGGGTAACAGAAAGATCAGCAAGAATCTTCTTAGAGGTGCACAGTGGGAGAGTAAGGGGCAACATACACAAGCTGCAAAATAGGAAATCTCAATTAGATAAAAGAAAAAAACCCAATCCCACTATGGGGATGATCATACACTGGAACATGTTGCCCAGAAAGGCTGGGGTATCTTCCTACCTGGATGCAGTCACAACACAGCTGGACCAGACAACGTGATTTAATTTGTCTGACTTTGAGCAGGAGGCTGAACTAGAGAATCTAAATTATTCTGTGATTTCAACAGCAGGGGACTACGTTTTAGCTGAAATCTAGATAAATGAGCTTCCACCTTTTACTGCACTTTAAGATAATAACATAATAAAAAGCAGGAAAGAACCACAGAAAAGGAAGGAAGGAGAAGAGGCAATAAAGGCGGTTTTTCACTTGCTGGTTTAATTAGGAGCATGTTTGAACAACTTACTCAATGCCTTTACCCTGGTATCATCTCTCAACTTCATTTCTTTTTCCACCCGCTTTAATAACGCTCACCTTCCTGCTCATTTGACAGTAGCCAACACCTACCCACCCCGTTTGACAGCTACGCTCTCCTTCCCACTCACAATCCAAAGAACTCACAGCACTGCTATAAATGAATGCAAGTAGATTGTGACTCAAAACAAACCTGTGTCACTACAGATAAAAACTTATTTCCAGAGTAGACTTCTAAACAAACAAGCAAGCCAAAACCCCCAAACCACCACCAAACCACCCACAACAGAAATTACCAAAAACTGGAATTAATAGTTCCAGTGTCACAGCACACTCTAGTGATCAATTAAAAGATAAGTTTAAATACCTCTGTCATCTCCCTCAATTTAAATGTGGCTTTAAAATGTAGGAAGCAGTTTAGATATTTTGAAGCTGTATGTACATGCATACATCTTGTGTTTCTTGCTAGCACTCAGTCCAGATATTAAATCAACTGCAGACATTTCAACATGCTAGATTAATTCCTCAGCTGGCATCAAAATAACTAGGAGAAATGGAACAGACGGGAAACGGGAAGCTAGCATATACAGAAAAATGGAAAAAAAGCCTCAAAAATAGGGAGCTTGGAGACCTGGGAGTCTTGCAAATTAAAGACTGATGCAGAGACATAAGTGGTTCTGCATGGCAACAAACCAGCCAAGTATCATCAGTACTGAACCAACCTGATGAACTCAGCTGGCTGAACTCGCCATGACTCCTGCGCAGCCACCGAGATGTCCCAGCGCTCGGCTCCCCGCTGCTTCTTGAGGATTTGTTCACTTGAAGCCAGTTCAGGTCTGGTGTCTCCTTGATCTAACGACTGCTCTCAGAAAAGAAACACAAAGCCTGGTCTCCTGCAGAACCTCCTGGGTTTTGCTGTACCATTTGAGTCATGTACTACTCATTAGCTCATTATTAGCCATGCCAGAACTAGGCCATTCCCATGCGAAGCCACAAAGACTTGTTTCCACTAAGACTCTTCACTGCTCCCTGGAGTAACACAGTGAAGACAACCCAGGCTGCCACAACAAAGTTAAGTCATGTCAGGCCTATGTTTTTAGCTTGGATTATGCGCTCCACACGCACAGCTGCACAGCACAACTCTCAGGGCTGAGCTGTCCCTGGAAACAACGCAGCCACATCCACACAGCCCAGCTTTCGGGCTGATCTGCCTCTGGCCTGAATCCAGTTCACATCTCCACATTCATGACAAGGTTCATCTACAGACAATTTCTGGGTTGCATAAACTGGAAGGTGACAGTATTTGGAAGAGTGCTTATGCAACCACCAAAAAACCATCATTCAGAGACTTCAGAAAATTGTCAGTTTAATGACTGCAGTTTATCCAAAGAGAAAAATCAAAGCAGGAACAGTAGCCATGCAAGTACCTTCAGTGTCACGTCAGTGAGTCCAACATCAACAGATCAGGATTACTTATGCTCTACACACATGCAATTTCCTCTCCTTTAAAAGGAAGAGGTAAGGGTGTGGATAATTAATCTTCATGGAAATAGTCCTGGAATGCCGCAGGCAAAAATCAGAGCCTATTCCTGTGACAGGAATTACACAGTCAAAGAATAAAATTACCTCAAAGTCAACTCCTAACTTTCAGATGGATGAACCTCTATATACCTAATAGAGAGAAATAAGCATCTTCAGACACAATTCAAAAACAACCTGAAATAACTCTGAAAGTGTCACCTCTTCCAACTGATTACAGTCAATCTAGTCATCCAGGCTCCCACTAGCTTAATGTCTCATTTTCCAACAGCTAACGGCCTGGATTCAGCTGAAATAATCCACTTCGAGAGCACGCAGACTGGCCAGACTGCACAGGCTAGACAGAGCAATGCGAAAGGAAAATAAATGACTTTATGAAGATCACAGAGTAGGCGTGAGAAAGCTAATAATAGCAACCAGTGCAAATTCCCTTATCACTAGCCCTCACCATCTCCCATATGACAAAAAAGTTTTTTCATTTTGCTAGCAACAAAATTAGTGATACCTGTTTTCCTGCAGATTTGTGCTTTGTGTCCCTACATCTCCACTCACCACAATAACTTCAGCTTTATCCCTCTCTTCGTGAGGAATGCCCACTCATCACACACACCTTCCAAATCCCTCCTACCTCTCTCCTCTAACACCATCCCACACACAATGTTCCTGTATTTCTACCCTCATTTTGTTCTTTATCTATCAATAGGACACACACACTACTTCTCTCCTAGGGGAGCACCAGTTTCTATACAAGCTGAGAATCACAGAATCACAGAATCGCTCGGTTGGAAAAGACCTCTGAGATCATCACGTCCAACCGTTCCTGTCTACCCCCTAAACCATATCCTTAAGTACCTCGTCTACCCGCTCTTTAAATACATCCAGGGATGGTGACTCCACCACCTCCCTGGGCAGCCTGTTCCAGCCTCTGACGACCCTCTCAGTAAAGAACTTCCTCCTTATCTCTAACCTGAACCTCCCTTGGCACAGCTTGGTGCCGTTTCCCCTTGTTCTATCCCCCATCACCTGGGAGAAGAGACCAGCACCCACCTCTCTACAACCTCCCTTGAGGTAGTTGTAGGTGGTGATAAGGTCTCCCCTCAGCCTTCTCTTCTCCAGGGTAAACAAGCCCAGTTCCCTCAGCCGCTCCTCATAAGGCTTGTTCTCCAGACCCCTCACCATCCTTGTGGCTCTTCTCTGAACACGCTCCAGAATCTCAACATCCTTCTTATAGTGAGGGGCCCAGAACTGAACACAGTACTCGAGGTGTGGCCTCACCAGTGCCAGGTACAGGGGGATAATCACCTCCCTGGACCTGCTGGTCACACTGTTTTTAATACAGGCCAAGATGCCATTGGCTTTGGAATCAAGAGGGAGGCCAAGCAGAACTCTCTTTTCTTTATGGAGGAGACAGCTTCTCAAGCGGGATGGAACAAGAGTTCACACAAAAAAACAGGGAGGTAACGGGTGTCAGGGCTCTCTGTGCACCAACAGGCTCTGCAAACTCTCCTCATTCAGCACAGCTATGTAAACTTGAGTCAGGCTGCTATGAACAGAGTTGAGCTGTAAGGAAGAGCTGTGCAAAGGCTCACGGGGGCTCCCTCTTTTTACTCAGGAACTGCATTTAAGCTCAGTCCCTCAGTCTTAGGCCTTTCTTGAGCTACGCTGCAGCTATGCCCAAGCCCAGCCTGCTCCTGATGCTGTTCAATGTCACTGGTGATGGGGGAAGAGATGCAGGTGGGTTGGCAACTCAGTCATACAGACCTTCATGAGTAAGGCTGAGAAGTCTTTCCTCCACTTAGACAGTTATTTTAACCCAAACCCAGTACTACTGGAGATAGCAAGAGGATGTGTGGCTAAAACAATATGAACAAATAGCAGTATTGTCTAATAACTAGACAAACAATTCACATGCACCTCAGAACAAGTTATTTTGGTCCTTAGAATTGTAGTCCTCCAGTAATTATAATACACAGACATAACCAACACATCAGTATTTCAGTAAGTCCTCTTAATTCATAAAAAATTGCACCTAAACAATTAAGTCAGATTATAAAAAAACTCAGATTAGGAAACGCCAGAACTCTGTTTGAATAAACTGAGTGTATCCACTCAGTGGTTACACAGAAATACTACTAAGCAAACTCTGTTTCATGCATGCTATATCTGAATGCTAAAGAATATCTCATATCTACAGAAATTAGAAAAAAATAGGTTTATAAGTTTTTTTTACGCACACATATACACATACACATTTTGTTTGGAGTCTGAAGTGTTTATGTCCACATACATACACACACGTGTCCATATATATATGGACACAAACATTTCAAACCTGTAACAGAATATTAGCAGTGTCATTAAATTGCTTCAGTCTTTAAGTTTCCTGTTCATAAGACTATTCCATTCACAAAATCTTATTAACAGAATCATTAAGATTGCTTACAGGATTTCTTTTCTATTGACAATGTTATCCTTTTTTATTTCAGCAGAATTTAAACAGGTTATTATGGTTCTTGTGTAAAGGTTGATCACTTAGGAAAATACTGCTCTCTCACCTCATGGTGTTTTGGGCTGATGAATCCTCAGTTCCTTTATATCCAGCTCTTTTGATACCAGTACCAGGTGAATTATTTGCACTCATACATTTTTCTTCTTCCATTACAAGATCACGGAATGACTTTGGCAAAGCAGAATGTAATGAAGATGACCTTTAAAAAACAACACCACAAATTCATTTTATACTTGTACTTTCCAAGAATCCACATTGGTCCATGATTCAGACAGCAAAGAGAACCTCTTCAGTTACTAAAAATAAAAATACAATATTACTTAGCTTTTGTAGCTCACCATTATGCCTGCTAGTCCCCATCTGCTAAAATATGTCATGTTGGGTCAAATCAGTAAACATCAGAAAATAAATACCTGTGATAACAGAACAAGCCAGTGGTACGGAAATTTCATTAGAAGAAACAAAAACAAAAAACCCAAAAATACAAAAAACACACACAAAAACCCAAAACCACCCCACCATCTATTCCCCCATCCTTTTCAAAAAACCAAATTTATTTTCACAGACACTTTGTCTTAGGTCTACCTTTTCCAACAGCATCATTCCTTGAAAAGCGTTCTCATAAATTACACAGTGCTCTAGCACTTTCATTCTTATATGTCAGTTTACCACCATGAAAGTAGAGAATAGCTGATCTTTCCCCAAGACTTTGAGTTACTCATACTGGCTCGAGGTTCTATAGATCACTTAATCGACAGTGAAATTCATAAAACTGATAGGCTTTGTTTTCTTATACTTGCCCAAGTATAATGTGCACGGTTACTGAACTAGTGCTCGCATGTTGTCTTTCAAAAATAAACCGATATGAAAATGCAGTGGTTCACCATCACAGCTATTCTCAACACTCTCTGATCCAAAAGGCTTTTTATTTACAGAATTCAAGGTAGTTACCATTAGGCTTTCCTTTACCCATCAAGACTTTGAAATTAATTCTTCGTACATTTGCTTACATTTAACTTTACTAAGCATAGCAGCCCCACTCATTACTAAACATACAAAATACATACTGGAAGAATAGCTCTGCTCATTATCTACTCAAAGAAATAAGTGATCAACTATAAACACTGCTGAAGTAAAACAAGATTTCTATACAATGCTGTTTGTGCAGCTACTGTACGAAAGGAAGCATCTGAAGGCAGAGACTTTCAAACCACATCTATGTGGTAAACAAATTAAGATAACAAACAAGAGGGAATTAAAACATTGCAACACTGTATCTGGTATCTTATCTACAACAAAAGCATCTGAGAGTTATAAATATGATGCGTTAACCCCATGCTAGGCTAAAGTCTGGGGGTTTTTTAGCTGTTGTTTATTCCCTATTAATATTGCATGAGCAGTGTGGAAGGCAAAGAAAACAGAATGGGAACCTCCAGATGCAGGGGTCAGAGTCACTCTGCACATCCTCTATTCCTACCACCAGCTGGCACGCAAGACCAGGCAAGTGTTTGACCAGAACTTCCCCAAACTTACTACACCGACTAGACAAATGGTTCCCTTGGGGTCTGCTGGCACCAAAGCTTCTTCTGTACTAACAGCTTAAGTAGCCTACTCATTTTAATGGAAATTCTGTCCAGCAATCAGACCCACTTGCAACACAGTAAATAAAAAAAACACAAACAACAAAACAACCAAGCAAAAAACCCAACCACCCCAAAACAATTCTCAAAAAAACCCAACTCTGCATCATTATCAGCTTGTGAGCCTATCCAAAATAATTACCCAGGGCTTAAAATGGTTCAGCTTAAACTGGTACAAACCTTCCTAACAGTCACAACTCTAAATTTCAGCTTGTCCTGCCTGATACGCTGTCATTTCTAACTAATTTGTAGCATTAGAAAAACTAATTTATACATCTTTTCAAAAGAGTGGAATATGACTAAGTTTCTCTAAGCTGTAACTGCAGGACATCAAAGCATGAAGTTCCAAAACAGCTGCTGATGTCTCAGTGTAAGCTGGAATGAATACTGACAAACTGACAACCTAGACATTAAAATACACAAGTGTCAGCTCTCAAAGAGAGACTTTAAATTTCTTTATGCCTCCAATTCTTGAAAAGCCATAGGCTCTTCTGAGCTTAAAAATAAAACAACCCAGAAAACACTTAAACAAATCAACACCACCCCTCTCCCTCCATCAAAGTAGGTTTAGAGAACTAACAAAGCTAACACCTAGCTTCTTGCAGGTGTTCTCAAAGTATTACTTGTGTGATATTTTTCCCCCCTTCTAATTTGCACTTTTTTTTGAAAGGAGAAAACATAGGTTCAGCCCTCCCAAAACTATGAAACTGGAGGTTACTTTTGGTGGAAAAGGTAAGACATTGTGCATGATAGACTGTCTTTTAGTGAACCAAAAAAGAGCCAGAAGGTCCCACACCCTTCTGGCAAGTGTGCTCACTACATATCCAAGATGAATATTAAATTTCATTGGAACATGGATTCTATGGCTTTGAAATATTGCATGTGTGGAAAGCTCAATCTATTGCCAAATGCACTCTAACAGCCCGTTGTGAATTTACAGACTATAACTTTGCAAATACAGTATGAGAGCAGATCAGTAACACAATTCTACAAAAATACTTTGAACAACTAGCAGGGGCAATCAAATAATTGACGACTTGCCAAAAGCAGCTTGAAGTTTATTCATCAAATGCTCTCTTCCAGCAGCTAAACATAATTTTCAATATTCATATACCTCCCACTGGTTCTTCGCTTGAACTCCTGAGCTACCGGCATTTGCCAGCTCAGCAGCCAGAGGAACGCTGCAGAGGAACGCACAGAACCACGCGCGGTGACCGCATGGGTGTTAGACTGGATTCTGTCCCCCTCAAGTACACCCTGGCCTTCCCACCAAGATGGTCTGTGTAATACAGTAGAGCCCAGCTACTTCCAAAACCTGTTTAATCAGAACCTTAAGAGCACGATATATTTTCTAGAGAGAGTTATCTACATATATTGAAAAATCAGCCCATACTTGCTTTTTAAATGAAAGGAACAGTTCATAGGCAGTTGGTAGTTTAAAATTAAACACCACCCAATAGGTAAAGAATTCTCTACCAGAGTACTGGTAGATAAATTACTGATAAATATTCTGTTACTGATAAATATTTTGAACACCAGTTCTATTTTCCCATTGTTATGTTCTGGGATATTACTGCTATTACTATGGTCTTCAACTAAGGCAATAGCATACCAACAGGTCTAGGAGGAATCTCAAATAAATCTAAAGGCACTTCAAACTCAAGGTGCTGAGCATAGTAGTGTCCACCCAATAAGTAACGATCAGGTAACAGATAACGAAATGGAGCAGAGAAGCAAGCAGTTCTAGATACCGCCCTAAAACTTTTGACATAGAACATCTCTCAGGAGGCAACTACTGTCAGGAAGCAGCTTACCTCTTCCTCAGCCAGCTAGTGATGTGATTTTTTTTCTCTCCATGCACTCACTAAATAACTAACAGGCTACGTGTCTGTTTTGAACTTACAAGAGGACAGCACAAATGCAAAGACTCCAGTAGATGCTTACTACTCATTCTGAAAGGAGCAACCAAGTCATATAAAGGATCAAAGGAAAGGGGGGCAAAAGACAGAAGAGACTCTAATTAAGAGCCACATTAGACAGCTCTAATTGTGGAAGATTAACCTATCCTTTGACAGATATACTCACATTTCACTTTGAAATCTATCCAGTACAAAAGGAGAAATACTACAATAGCATTTAAAACAGTTAAATTGTCTAAAAAAACCCAAACTTCTTTTAAAACAGGGTGACTGTGGTGGGTATGCAGCAAGCTTTGTTTTCCTCTGAGGCACAAACAGGTAGAGACAGGAGACTCCATTCTTCTAGGGTACCAGTACGGAAGCAAGCTGCAATAGAAGTCTAGACCTTCTTGAACAGGAAATGAGGAAGAACTGCCCAACATCTACCTCAAGTTAAGAGCATGCACATAGGTATTTATCCTGTAGTAACTAAATACATTAAATTTGCATAGCTTGCAACTTTTACCGTCACGCCTTTACACTTTCATCCAATACCAACTGTAAATGTGAAGAATGAAGCATGAATTGGGCTAGCACCTCACTACATTCATTGTAGTAAACCTAGCTCATTGAGCGGATGATAAACCATTTTTCTATTTGATACAGTGATATTATCTTGAACATTTAATTTGTGTGTAATCAGCATTAAAAGTAAATTTAAATCCTTCCACCACCATAAGAATTTTTAGCAGCATCTGTCAGTCCCTCCAGATCCCAGCCATCTAGATAACTTTGGTATCTATAATTTCAGTCTATTTTTGCTCTACTCCAGGAGTCATTTTAGCTCTTTCCCCAGGAAGGGCTAACATTTTCTCTTTATGTTTCTGACAGAGGAAAAACAGCATTCATAATGGTTTTCAGTAACGTCTTCCTGACTGAGTTTCAGAGCTTGTGCTCAACCTTCTTTTTCTATACTTCACTTTGATACCATCTGCAAATACCACACCACACACAGGCAAGAACCAGATGGGATGCAGTCTTCTGACTCACTACAGCAAAATTTCAAAGAACTGCTAAAATGCAACCACTGCATTTCCCTGAACCCTTTGAATTTTCAATTACTACCAAATGTAGATACAAATAGTCCAATGCTAGTCTTTTTAATGAACAGACTCTAGGCCATTTTTAGTTAAGAAACTGCTTCTAGACAACTATTCAATATCAAAACCCTCCAAACAAAAAGAAGTGGTACTTAATTTATAACTTACCATGCATTTCCTAGTTTTGCAACTTTCGTAGGTGGGGGTGGTGTGGTTATTAATGTGGTAGGCTCTGTGCTGCCAGTTACTGATCCATTATCTTTTGCTGCCAGGGCAATCATTTTCCTTTGCTTCTGAGAGAGCTTGATTCCATGAGATGCCATTCTGCTGTAAATTGATATTGCAAAGAGCAAGATGTAAGATCAGTGTCCTTTGAGATGACTCACCTTTAATCTTGCAAATTAAACAGAGAAATACTTATTTCCTAGACCAAAATACTTTATCTAGAGTGCCAAAAGGAGACTGTAGGTGGGGAGGAGGGTTTGGATGGCTGGGGAGCAAAAGGAGCATCTATGAATATCAGAAGTTGCAAAGAAAAGAATTGTAAACTATTCTTCATATAAGATGAAAACATGCAGAGTAGGCATCAAGTCTCCAAAACAGATGGACTAGCACCAGATGAAGATGATTCCCTAATTCTGTGACTTTTTACAGACTGTCAGAAATATAGCTTCCTTAAACAAAAAATAGTATACATTTCTTATGCACGAATATATTATATACTCATTTTTTCTATTTGTAATAATTTGCTTTTTAAGTTATTTGGATTCTTCAGTTTTGCCTGTTTTGTTCACAGCTTCTGATTCAACGTAGCCAGGAGCCCTTTACTAGGGTCCAGGCCTACCGTCCCAGCTCTCCTTTTACAAGAATGCCAGAATTCAAAGGTCATAAAAGTCACCTTCAGTTCCCTTCCACACTTCAGCAGTTAAGAAACACTAAGTTAAACCCACTGCCTCCTGAAAAAGTACATTTATCTCCCTGTGTCTGTGGGATACTTCTCCAAGCAAGAACCACCCTTGCTTGTGTCTGAGAAAGAACTGTCAATACCGAGACATGGGCACTGGGGAAGGTCAGAGAACATGAGACAAGAAACAGACTTCAGGGTAAGTTACAGTACAGGACCACAGGGAACTTCCAAAGTGTTAGGGACCAGAATTAATTCTCTTGGGTTGGAAATAGGAAAGTTCAGCAGAGCAGGCCACTGATTTAAGCTACTAGTTTACTAGCTCGCTCTTTCACATTTCAACAGCTAAGACACGTTTTTGCAGTAGTTGACCAAACAAGACTGCAGTAAAATAAAGGGATAAATTTTCTGTGCTCACAGAAAAACACCATCAAGAACTGAAGTAAACAAAGCTATGCAAAAACAAACAGGACAACTTTTCTCCTCCTTGTTTTAAACTCTGAATTGCCTGAACCACTAAGTAAATTCATAATAGCCTGGTTTATCACACTTTTCTTTTATAGATTTTGGTTTTTTACCAACCCTGAATTTGCCTTTGGCATGGTTCCACATTTCTGCATACTTTCTTCAATTTCCATGATGGTTCTTAGATCCATAGCAGGAGGGCTGGCGGGGCTAAATGAAAAATAAAAAGTTACCTTACAAGGCACTCATTTTTACTTACATTCCACAGTTCCAGCCTTCACTGAACTCTAAATCATACATAAGGTTGGTAACCGGATGTATAATTTATGTCTGTTTCCTCAATTATGGCAAACCTCAAATAGAATGTTTCTGACAAAACTTTTATAAATATATACATGTTTAAGAGCACACTATAAAAATACTCTTAAGACTCATTATACTATGAAACAAAAAGATGTGAACTATGATTACTCAAAAAAATTAGGTACCTAAATACAGGATACTTATTTAGTAGTCATCTGCTCATGCTAAGTATTAGAGAGGCATTGCTCACAGCTCTTTGATGAAGGTTGAAGTAGATCTTTCTTTGAAGAATAGGTTTAAAATTATTTCACACAGCAAACAGAACTCTCTTTGCAAAATTTGAGCTCTGTACAAACACCAGTAAGGTTCTCAAACTTTAGGAATCGGTTTCTTTTTCATAAATGATCTAATTTATACTTCCACAGAAATGAAAATTATCAAACCCAGACATTTCCAATCTTTACATAAAGCTATAAACTAAAACCTGCGTACTTAAAGGCATTTATAAACTAAGCTGTGTTACAACTAGATTCATGGACAAGTTTTGAAATAAAATATAAGCAGCACTCCCTCTGTCTCTCCCTACCTAAACCAATTGCCATAAACTAAGTAGTGAATTAACCATAGGGAGCTCACACCAAACTCTGCTGTCACAGCTCCTCCACAGTAGCTCAACCAAATACAGTATGGTATTAATCCTTCAAACTTTCTACACAACAGTGTTGTCTGCTTTTTCTTGACATCATATCAGCAATACTAGAAAAAGTGAAGCAAGAGGACAAGGGAAACCCATAAAGGCCCAGTGACATTATAACAAAGTCCTATGGTGTTATTTGTTCCCCTTCCATGCAATCCTCTAAGTAAAAATAAATGAATGAATTTGGAAATAACTCTATGATAGCAGACGAAGGTGGAGCTTCTTTCAAGGAGTCTAAAGACCAAAGCACTGGTTGTGGTGTGTGTTACACTTTCTCCATAGACTAGGCTTGCACAAATACATAGCGAGACAAAACACAGATTCCTAATGGACCCTGCTCACCAGAAGATACACTTCTAATTTCTACAGCTGTATCACCTGTATTAGCAGCAAAGCCCATCAGCCACAAACCAACAGAGCCTGGGGAAACTGTAGGAAATCACCACCATGATTCCCTAAATTCTTGAACTCTTCTCTATTCAACCTTTATTGACAACTGTCAGAGACAAGATATCAGGCTAGACAGAACTTCAGTCTATCACTGTACTGCTCCTTTCTCATATGCAGATGTTGCTACAGATAAAAATCATGTTTTTATTATCGTATCAGGTAAACTTGCAGCGTTGATTTTCACAGACTATTTAAGTGTAAAGGCACGCCTTAAAAATGCCAAAGTACAATGGTGCTCCTAATGGCTTCAAGCATGGTCTGATTCTACAAAAAACTGCCAAGTATTTTACAAAGTGTCAACCAAGCAGGCCTTCTATAAAGAGATATTAAAAGTCCAGACTGGCAGAATGTCAAGGAAAAAAATAAATGTATCTAGTAATTGCTTTTCTCAAAGAAAAACTAGAAAATGTACCAGCTTTATTAAACTACTGAAAACTTTAATTCATATGTCAAGAAATTAAGCGATCGTTTTGAAGAGCAGATAGCTTTTAATAGCATGCACTACCAAGGGTGGAACAGTGATTGTGAGTTAGGAAGGCACTATTACTATTACTCCACCTGAAACTGGTTGCTACCCAGTTGAGAGAGCTTGCACAGTTGTTTTTGACACGGGGAATGGACTGTGGAACTGACTGTGTCAATGCTGATGATCCCTTGTATGGCTTCATCTCTTTGTTAGGCTGAGAGGGTTTCATACCCTGACTGCATGCTTTGTCCTTAATCTAAAAAAAAAACAAAACACAAAACCAAAAATAATGTTAACTAAGTATTCTCACATTTTTTCATTCAGAAAACTACAAACAACTTGAACAACGTGTGTAAGTTAAAAGATGTGAAAGGATACCTCAAAAATAGCAGTAACAAAGTGAATCCCTGATCAGTCTGCTATTTGTACATTTCCCTCCCACACCCTGCTTGACACTTCACTCTGAATCACTTAAGTCCAAATATACATCTTGATAGTGAATATTCACTTGGAGTTATTCACTTCTAAAGTCTTAACACTTAACATAGGCACAATTCTCTCATCTTTGCTAGTTATGACTCAGCTATCCTGGACCATACTTCTGTCCAACTACAGTAGTCAAAGAACAGAAGATTTTTCCTGGAGTTTTTTGGCTTCTGCTTTTGGGGTTTGGGTTGGTTATTTTTTTGGCTTCTGAACATCAGATTGGCTTTGCATTTGAAATGAAGTAGATCATGACTTTACATAATCGCTCTTTCAGTTTGAAATTTTCTGAACACGAGAGCATACAGAAATTCTTATTACGGTACCACATGAATAAATTACCCTTAGACTGAATACGGAATACTTATTTTTACTTGTTTTATCAGACAAAAATAACTACTTAAGGTTGCCTACTCCATTTTAAGGACAACAGCTTCTCAGAAACACTCCAGAATACAAACTCTGCTTTTGATGGACCAGATAAACACAAACAAATTGCTAGGAACACAGAAATCCAACCTCAGTCCTCTCTGGGTGAAATCCTTTTGTGAAGTCAGGGGACTGCAAGTCTCTGGGGCTACTCACTCCTGCGTAACTACCTTCAGAGTCAGATGTTAAGAGCTCTGGAAGTGATTCTACAGAGTTAGTTTTATCCAGTTTTACTGAGCCTAGAAATAAGAAAAGAGAGCAGAACTATTAAATCACAAAAGCCAGTCTAAACAATGCTTTAAAAAAAACCACCCAAAAGTTATTCACTCCATACAATAACCAAAAGTTTACCTAGTCCAGTATACTAGATTGTAATAAGAACAAGAAAATGCAAGACTCTCTTAAATAATTTTCACAAGATTACTCCCAGTTTTCTCTCTGTCTCACAGTTTTAGGAAGTAACACTGACACGTTTGTTGAAAACGAAGGCTTCTACCAACTTCCCAACAAACAGGGACAAATTTATTTTTTTATATTCTAGTAAATAAAGACAGACACATTAGCTGAAATGCTCCACTTATCAAAACCACACAGGAAAGTGTCTATTAACTCTATTTGATAAAATAAATGCTTTTACAGAATCTCAACTTTGGGCACAAGCTTAATATGACAAACAGGTGCTCAAACAAAACTTAAGAATTCACTATTCACATTCAACTATGGTGTTCACTAGAAAAGAAAAAAAAAATCTTTGCAAGATTTCCTTATTGAAGTACAGAGATCATGTTGCATTGCACATTAAAGTTTATGTTCTGTTTTTATACCCTAAAAGGTATAAAAGGAACCTCTTTCCAACTGACCTGTAGAGGCTGGACTCTGAATAATATCTGATAGATTATATCCTCCGGAGCTGTCAGACCGCTTTCGTGGCTTCTTTTTTGCCTTAGTTTTTGCTTTTTTGAAAAGGGCTTCCCTATTAAAAACAGAAACACCCCAAGATGTATTAAAGCTTCAGAACTACCAGTGTCAATGTCAAGTTTTTCAGACAACAGCAGAGGTTATACTTCAAGCAGTAATACCTGGTCCCACCAGCTATCATTAGCTGTTGTTCCTGCTCTGCTTATGCACTGGCACAACTATTTAGTACATTATTTGGGAGGAAAAAAAAACCTGGAGGAAGAGGAAAATTCTTTCCCATCTAGATCTGTTCACTGGCCTAGTACATTGCACAAAGACTTCTGCTGAGACAGTGGAAGATACAGCAGCTGCATAGGCTGGCACTGCCACCTAGGTCAGATTAAACCTGCTACACACCACAGCCACTGAAAGCAAACTACATCCACATCTCCACTTTCTTCTTTCTTGATTTCTCCTAAATTAGTGAAGTTCGATAACTCCATACTTGGTCTCATTTCTCCTCAACACAAATATTGCCACCAAGATGACACTACTTCTACAATAAAGCTGGTATATGGTTATGTTATCAAAGTGCCACATGTTCCTATATATGATATTAAGAAGAGTGGAATCAATTAAAAGGCATCTTTCATTTTAACAAGACTATTGGAAATTCAAAGTTACATGATTCGCAGCAACAATAACCCTATTTCAATAACTATATACATACTTATTTATTTGCATCAATACTGTAACCTTCATCACATGCCTAACTCCCAAACATTACTGAATGCTTGTTTTGCTACCTTTACTCATATGCTACTTATAAATTGAAAAAAAGTGCTCCTCTATAACATTTTAAAATACTTAAGGGAACTGAAAACAGTCTCTGAAATCTCCATTTTTCCTATATCTTAATATTTCAATTCTGAACTCAAAGGGAGTCAGGCACCCTCCACAAGGGAATAAATACCATATACAGCTCACCTAGTTGAAAATGTTGACAAAAACCAGATACTTACTGAGAATTTTGTTCTGTATTCATTTCTTCCCGTAAAAAGACAAAGTTCCCTCCGTCTTCGGGCTCTAAAGAACTTATGTCGGGTCCATCTGGATATGGAGTAATTACTCTCCTGACCATAGCTGGAATCTGTAGTTGTAAAAGCCGTTACATTAAGTTTCTCTTAAGTTGTATGCTAACAAATATACAATCTCTTGTAAAAGGACCAAAGCCGACTGTTATTTAAAACACTTTTACAGATTAATTAATTATTTAAGCAGCTTATAAGGTTAAGTTACATCTTTAAGCAAAACAGAGGGATTCTTTTCAGTGACAGACTCAGAAAGCATATGCTTCAGTTGCCTGTAACTCCTGACAAAAAGATGCTTCAAGGTTTTGCAAATATTCATCTTTTGCTACTGTACAGTTAAAGAATACTGGATTATACTGTGCCCTGGTTTTCCTTTTTGCATTAAAAGTTCAACTTTCATATTATTTTTCTCACTGCTTTCACAATCTACACGACCACTGTAGAAGTCTAATTTGCTCTCTTCTCCTTTCTTCTAAGTAGCAGAAGCCCTTTTCCATAAGTCTTGCTTATGTTTTTTTCACGCAACAACTGTTAATTACAGAACATGAATAGGTTTAATGTGTATAATTAATTCATTGAAAGGACACAACACTGTTGCAGCAGTGGCTAGTGAATAATGAAATATGAGCTCCGTGAGAGTGATAAAAGCAGCAGCTAACCTTAGCTTTTGAGGCAGATGTTCCACACTCAGCCTGTCAACTACAGACCCTGCAGGTATATAGTTATTACTGTTCTCATTTTAAACCTAATCAGCTTACATTCAAGTTGTACAACTTACCATTTTCCTGTAATAAACAGAAAGATCCTTTACAACTTCATCACTTAAGACATCCAGAGTCCTAAAAAAAAATAAATAAATACAAGTTTATCTTACCAGCTTAAAAAAAAATTATTTTTTTTAAAAATCATATTAATGAAAAATTCTAATGAAAATTTTAGATAAATCTCACCTACAGGCATTAATACCTATTCATGGTTGTCACAGAGGCAGGAAGAAGAAAGTGAACGCAAAATACAAACTACTCAATGCCTTTGTTGCAAGGCAGGATTGAAAACACAACCTTTCCAGTTAGCCTATTTTTACCTAAGGCCACAGCCAATATAGACCATTATAGTTAAGTTACATTGAACTAGCCATTACTTTACCTATTTCTGTATACTTCAAGTCTTCTGACATGTATCTAGTACTCCAATACTATCTAATGCTGCAAGTTCTTCTATATAACTCAGCCACAACACCCCTTGACATTCATGCCAAAAAGCAACACTAAAGCAACAAGCTCAACAGAACTGTCCTGCCCACATGAGCAGCTGTCCTTGAACAAAGCTGCCACAACAAAGTTCTGTCACAGGTGTCTCAGATTGAAAGTTTTGCTATCCAGTATCAACATTTTCAGATTTCCACTAAAATGCAGTTTTAATTGTAGTAACAATGCTGCGTGTCCTTTCCAGGCTGAAGACGAAGCAAATCTGAATTCAGAATAATACTTCAGGCAATGTTATTAGATTTATGCTCTTCTCTCCAAAACCAAAGGTTAAAATGTTTATACTTATAAACATGTGAGAAGGAAGATTGTTAATGTGAATGGATTCCTGTATCTGTGACACAAGCAGAGCAGTTGTTTGACATAGCAATGACATGCTGGCATTCTGAGCTGGCTTAGAGCTTCGAGAGCTTCTACAGGTAAAAGGAAGCTCACTGAATTCAAGAGGTTTTTCCCCGTAATTCAAGCTCTTCATGCCAGATTGTAACACAGGGTTTTGTACTACAGAACTGGCACAGTGTGTACAGATATTTAACTAGTTTCTCTCTCCCTGTTTGGCAAAAATTAGCCTCCCTTTTAACTAGCAGCATTGAGTTGCATTTTAACATTTAACTGCTGCTATTAGGTCTTCCAACACGTTTGCCTTTTTGGGATATTTTAATTTAACATCTACTACATGAACATTCCTCCTTACCTTGCTTCAAGCAGAGCTGCCATATTGAGTCCTATGAACTGCAAGCAGGACAGTTTTAACTGGTCAGCATTATACATTGCTGAGAACTCCAACAGCTCAGCAGCATTCTTCAAAGTAACTGCAAAGAAGAAACACAGGAAACTAAATTGGCTGACGTGCTGCAACATAATGCAGCGTTTTTTATAGGACTTATTTAAAAGCATCATACACTTCTCCATTCCCAGAAAAAATACTAATGCTCAAATGGCCATTAAGTACAGCAAACTCCACATAGCTTTGCGGCAGCTTGAATGCAATGGCTGCTCCACAGAAACAGAAAGTCCCTACCTACAAATCTATCAGTTTCAGTATTTTGAAACTCAGCAGTCCAAAACAAAGTGGAAAAAGAAAGTCAAAGCAGTAAGTTTCATACACAGCATAAACAGTTCTTAAAGCTGCAAACGTTCCTTTAAGAGGGGCTAAGAAAAAAAAAAGGGGGAGAAGACTGAAGGGGTAGGGAGAGAGAAAAAGGAAAGTCACTAAGAAACGCTAAGCAAAAACTGTATTATTTTTTAATTCTCTAACTCCTTATAAAACAAGTGGAAGAACTCACGTTTTTCTGCAATGGCTACTTCACAGATTTCTTTGAGTCTGGATATAAGAAGCTGATCTGCTACCACAAGAACATTACATATGAATTCCACATTTTGAGAATCTGGAAAACAAAGCACTATGTAAACACCGTGGGCAAGTCAAATGCAACTGTAACATATGCAGCTTCAATGAGATTTTACCAAAGGACAAAAGTAATGGGTTTGCAAGTTTTTATGGGATTTTCACAGCACAAAGAATATCTTAGAAGAGCAGAAACACTCATTTTTTTGAAGCAAGAGAAGGAGGAAAAAGGAAAATTGCAGTTTGACAAACTAAAGAAAAGGTACAAAAAGGCCTGGGGTACAGCTATCACCTTAAAATAAAGAGCGAGCCACGAAAATTTGCATCTTCTACACAAAGCTTCAATGCAAGCATATTAAGTATTGAACTTCTATTTTAAATACATAAAAATTGCAGGAGCTACAGTTGAACTGAAAATACATTAATAGCACCTTTTATGGCAAGAGCTTCATCTGTATACAGGTAATCTACAATTATCTGCAGTATGTCAGAATGGATTGGCATTTCCAGAGCTGAACAACAGGAAGCCTGAAAGGCAAAAGGATGGATGGATGAATAAATAAATAATTAAATAAAATGAAATAAAATAAGACAGAAGAGGCTGATTACTTGGAATAAAAAACAAAATTAAGACAGCAATTATATTTAGCAAATTAATCAGACTGAGGGTCACATTTTCAAAGGTAAACAATTATTTAAGCATTTGCACAAAACTTGAACAAGTTCTTCAATTAAGAATTTAGTGATTAAAATCTGCCCAAATTTCTGAATAAATACCCACTAAACAGTTCAGTGTTTCATCAGTTTGAGCGTCCTCTCTAACAACCCTCCCTGATTATATGACATTATCCACAATTGTTTAAAAGTAGAACTATAGGAATCTCTGTGCCAGTACTGAACTGCTTTCCTTTCAAGACAAAAGATCTCGTGAAATCACAAGTTCCCATGTAAGAATAAAATGAAAGTAGCCATTACTGTTATTCCCTCAGGACCGTGGCAAACCCTTTGTTTGAAGAACATCTTACCCATTAAGGAAAAGCCTTTGTATGACCAAACATTAATTAATTATTAAACTGTGTCACTGTCACCACTCAAGTTTATGCAACATCACTGCTTAACAATTTTGGTTTATTTCAGGTGGTACTGAAGCAAAGCTTTACACAAAAAGATTTCTTTTACTTTGGAGCATGACACTAGTACTGACATTGCCCGTCTGAAGATTAAAAACCTAGTATAGACGTTAAGATTTTTATACAACGTGTAGACCACTGATTCAAAAAATACTCATTTAAGAATTTAGTATGATTTAGATTTCCTTACAAAATAACTGATACAAATTGATACAAATAGGCATTCAATAAAAAAAAATATCAATCACTTGTCTTACATAGTTTCGGATGTTTCCTCAGGGATGACTGAGGAAAAAACAGCACAGTAACTTAGAGGACAGATAAAATTCTGTTATGCAGCAGGAAAGAACTGCCAGTGCTTTGCCAGGTTCTTAGGTTTACACATTGCCAAAAAGCCATAAAAGTTGAGAAAACTCTTGAACACTGCTTCAGCTTTCAGTGTCTGAAAAACACTTCACCATTTTCGCCTTTCCTCTCTCCCAACAAGCACTGTCGGTATTCAGACACTTAAACAGAGGCATTTAGTAAAATTACTATGTCCAGAAACAACCAGGGCATTGACACATAGAGAGCAAACAGGAACTAAATTAAATCAAAGATCTACACCTTCTGAAGCAGGAACTGGTGACTAAGTGGAATAGTCCTTGATAATCTCTACTTCATTAACAGTAAAAGTCAAATAGAGATTCTGCACATTGACTCTTGATTCTGCTGTATCTTTCACTTTAATCTTTAATGTATATCTTTGATATATACTATTACATTTCTTACTTTCATTTAATATACAATCTCAATAGTACATACACAGTGTAACCAATAATGTGGTGTGGGTTGTTTTTTTTCCTTGCAGACAGGATCCAAGAATCCAGTCTTTCCTTTTCCGAACTATTTAGGATATTTTATTCTAGGAAAAACTGAAAAGCTGTCACTCATTTGATGCAACAAAATATATCACCACACATGTTTATGGGCAAGCTTACCTCAATCCATGAGCTGCTTAACATGCTGTGAAAATAATCTGTAAAGAAAGGCATTTCAGTTCAAAATGCAGTAAAATTTCAATTAAAAAAGACAATATGACTTATATATGTATATAAAAAATGCACACACATACCAAGTCTTGCACAAAGTACACATTTATGACACGGGAATTCCTTTCCATCTAAAGATTTCAGGGTCACATCGCAGAGGTATGAACTAAAAGATATTTAATAGAATCAGAACTGTGACTATTCAGAAGAGATACAAGCTTTAAACTCTATAAATAAATGCTTACTTTAGCAAGTTAGGACTTATCCTTTAAAATAAAACACACCTAAACTTTAATAATATCATATAAAATTAACCTAAAAGTACTGGCACGATAATTTCAAGAGAGAAATTTTTTGTCCAAAGTTGAGCCCTCAAAATACCATCTGAACTATTTCCTTCAAAACATGGTCAGTTACTGTTTCACAACTGCTATGACCAAATAAGTTCATTATAGCTAATTTTAGTCATTCTTAAATAGTCTATGTCAAGTTAGCTATTTCTTTTGCATTAGTAGCTACTGTAAGCTTTGACAATGTATTTTAAGAGTGAATTAATCCAAATCCTGTGAAAATAACACCTTTATGCAATGTAGCTTTTACTACATCAGTAGACTATACAAGCCTTTGAGGATAAATAACCCAGTCGCACTAATGATATTAAACAATTCTGATAAAGATGTAAGGAATTTCTCTATTTAAAGATATTCTAGAGATTTTTCTTAATTAGAAAAATAATATTATACATTTGCTTATTTCCAATCCATGCAGTCTTATTGTCAGAGCAAGCATATTTGCAAAAGTGAAACTGCTTTTGACTGGATTACCTGCAACATTTCTCCTGGCATTAGTGTTCTATGACACAGATAATCCACAGAACACATTAACATACAGCAAAAAGCAGCAAAAAATATGCCATTCATCTATCCCAGATTACTAATTGACAGATCAGTCTATAAGCATATACAGAGAACCTCCAAACATGAGTCACTGTGAAAGAGAAGTGTATACCAGCAGTTAAAATACAGCTGATCAACCTTGGCCTACACTTAGCAGAGGAAGACATGACATAAGAGGAAGACCTCAGGGACAGGGGAAGCTTGATTTAAAAAGTTTACCATTTCTTCTGATTTAACTTTGGTTTGTTCCCATTCTTCTTGTTGACAACATTAATTTTTCCATTTTCCAACCTGATTCCATCCAACCTGCAAATCGTTAAGTAATACAATTAGTATACAGTTCTAACCATTAAGGAAGAACACTTTCGCAAAGTAACAGCACTTCAGCTGAGCCAAGATAGCAGTTTTGAAAAGAGGCACGTTTCACCATGGGCTTTTTAGCACTCCAAGGAGGCTTGTGAATGGGGTGGTAAAGACGTAAGAGTGCCGCTGGTGAATTACAAAGCGACACACTTTCAAAGGGAAACATGGAAATTACACTTGGGAACTCACTCTTAGCAGCAGCTTTACACATTTGTTGATTAGTTTTAGTGTTTGTGAAAAATACTTTGAAGAAAACTGCCCTAAAAAAAGATGATTACCTTCTTTGAAAGGAAAAGTCAAATGCATAGAAAAACACAAAACAAGACTGAGTAATACAGTTCCACAGAGACATTTGGTCTCAATTCCATTACTTTCATCACATAACATTAAAAATGCAACAGTTAAACAACAATTTAACTTTGCTTTATGTTGGTTTATGTTAAATATAGTCATTGTCTACAGAAAAACTGGTAGACAATGGTAGAAAAACTGGTTTCTATACTGACCACAGTATAGAAATCTATAAATCCCAAACTCATTAGATCAGCTGTCTCTAACAAAACAAGTATTGATGTTTTATGACAGTCATTCTGGAAAGTCAGATGATGCGCACCAGATGTGGAGTCTAAGAGAGCTCACGCCTTAAAAGGTACACAGGACATGTTTTAAATACAAATGTCCAAATGCTTCTAGGACACAGTAAGGGCCAACAGCACATACCTATCATATAGAAGCCTATTGAAACATAATGCTTTAAGTACCTAATCATGCTACTAAAGTCTGCAAAAAAAGGGCAAACTTATCAAACCCAACTAGCCTTCTGCTTTAATAACAACTACAGTTAGGTCAGCTTTCATAAAAACACCCTGTGAAGGGCTTGCCAGAATATAAATGCATTTCCTTTCACCTACCTTCCACTTAAATTGCTGAGTCCAAACTTCTTTGCAGCACTTTGCAACATTTTTATGAGGTTAGCTTCTTCACCAACTTTGCCTTTTTTAGATTTGCTCTTCTGTTTTTCATTTATAGCTTGTACTTGATTATTTCTATAAATCTCAAATGCAGACTTCCCATTAACATTTTCATCAAAACTCATTTTGCTCAGGTTAGAAATTAAAGTATCTTGATATTCTTCTGATTTTCCTTTATGCAGGATTTTTGGTTTATAACCATGAGTCAGAAGATCACAAGTATCGGTGTATATGAACTGCAGAAGATATGCAAACAGGTCTGGATGAACTTTCTCTATGACATAAAGATCACAGCCAACAGCATCTTCCTCTTTACGGTAGACGTCTGGAGTGTCTAGCTGGTTGTCACTGGAAAGAAACAGCTTCTTGAAGAAGTCAGAGCGTGCAGCCAAGATGTATTTGTGCACGGGGTACATTCTTGTGCCAATCTGAAAAGTCACATCATGGATGCTGTCCATTTCATCTGTTTCATCTAACAGTTTGCCAAAATCCTCTCCAAAACTCGATAATGACACACTTGGAATCTCATAGAGACTAGAACAAAATGAAATCCATCAAAAAAAAAAACACTATTTACAACCTCCATAAAATTTTACATAGTATTTTTAATGAAGAGGGTAAGGCTGTTTCCATTTGGTTTGTTTGGGTTTTTTCTTACTTTGCTGGACTATTCAACATATCCTGTCCTGTTCTTCACAAAAAACTAATAAAATGGGATTTAGGCAATTAAACCACATATGTAAGATCTGTCTAGCTTCAGAATAACAAATATAGTACTTTGTCTTTATAATGTAGCCAGTAAATATGTATTATCAGGACTCTTTTATCTTCATCTTATTTTTCCAAAAAGAAAAAACAGAAATGTTTGCTCTATTTCATGTTCACAATCCAAAGCAATAAGAAAAAAAGTTAATATTTACTTATTTATCAGATATATTGGAAACTATTGTAAGAGTGCAAGGAACATGTTTCAGTATTCTAGTTACTCATTTTACTCTAAACATTCTTTCCAAACGAATAAAAGATCCACTTTTCATTTTCATTTAAAAGATGATCATTGGTGATTACTGAAGGCATTAATTTCTACAGTGTTTAGAGCTCTAGTGTGTTCAGAAATACATCACAAATTCTTGCCTTGAACATTTCAGATAAAACATCAACACTATCCATACTAATTATGCTAATATTTAAACTGAGGTCTTTGGGAACTTCAACACAGTTGTTTACTAACAAGTGCTCTAGCAGTATTGATAACTCCATCTACTATATCTTATGTTATGAGCCAAAAAAGGCTTTTTAAAAGAATTATTTAATTTCAATCACACACACAAAAAAACCCTAGAAAAATTACAGTTTTTGAGATTGTAAATATACCTTGTTTTAGGATCTGACTGTAAAACAGCAAAATTGCAGCCATTAGGATCAGTGGCGATGCTAACAGCTCGGTGGACAAAAGTCAGCTTCTGAAGTCGAATTCTTTCATACACACTGTTCGTATCATGTTCACAAGATGCATCACATGAAGAATTCTGAAGGCTTGATGCAAGTTCTGCTAAAGAAAAAAAATAAAATAGAAGATTTAAAATGAAAATTCAGAGAAAGGTACAGCTACTTAAAAAGCCACTGATATAATAAAAAAACCAAGATTTATGACTTCTGTAAGTCCATTGATGGAGTCACTGAATAAGGTTAAATTATGCTGAAGATTTCAGGTAACTTAACTGAAACGAAGGAAGAGATTTTAAGAATAAGACTTGACATTACATCTAGGAGAGCTTCTTGTGGAAGTCTTGCCACTCTAACATTCGATGCAACCTCCTGTGGAATGAGCCAAGCTGTGCAACAGCGTACAGCCATGCAAGATTTTCTTTTCCTGTCATATCAATTACAGCAGATACAATACAGTTGCCTTCAGACTTCATATTGTATCTGTTTAAATTATACACAAACTAACAAAGTACTATAGAAAAAGAGTTATATTCTCTGAATACTGGATTATTTTTTCAAGAACTGGATAACTGAATATATGCACAGCATTTGCCACATTCAATAAAGCCTTTCAAAGAACCAGAAGCTCTCATTCATTACAAATCAGTGATGAACATCCACTAGACATTCAATTAGTCAACAGGTCTGCATTCCGAAGTTTCCTTCAAGACGGTAAAACCAGAAAAAGAACAGCAATAAGCAGAAAGAATAGAGTGCCTACAGACACATACCAGCACCAGGGCAAACAGAGCCAAAAGGAGATGCATTTGGTGCCTCTTTAATGAGGAAACTACAGCATAAAATGCATAAAATAAGAAAGCAGCAACAGAGTAAACTATTATGCAATTCTAGATTAAGTAACAAAGGAAAAATTTTTGCTATGAAAGACTGCAAAAATAGACTGAAAAAACTAACAATTGAATCTCAGTATCAGAAGAAGCAGAACTGCAACATAAAGCTATAAAGTTCAAACAGATCCCAGGTTGGAAGTAAATCCATTTCTATGCAGAGTTTTAAGACCCCTTCATGAATAGAGCTGACAGCTTCAATTAAAATCTTGTCCTATAGTACACAGGTATCTTCCACGCAGAAACACAATCCATCAGGACCTACTCTCAGCAATATGACCCAAGTTAATAAGGCAGAAATTGCTCTGAACCCTGTATTACACCCAGATAACGGTCTGGGAAACATGATAAGGTCTCACAGACTTAGCAATGCAAGCAAGTACATGCTCCTTTTATTTAATGCCAGACTCTCAGGACTGGTCATCTAACATGTGACAAGATCACTACACTGGACCCTCGTGCTGCTATGACTCTTCAGAAATACTTTTCTTCCTGATACTGCTTGCCATCTGAATGTTAACTGAAAGCTGCAAAGTAAGTAAGTCTTAGTATTACTGAGGAAAGAGAAGAGTAGTGGTCAATGCTAGAGGAAATAACAAACCCACCACATAATACTGTTAGAGACTGTAAAGATTCAATTCAACTTTCACATTGATTTGAAGTATTTAAAACCCATTAAGAAATCACAGCTAACCTTTCTTTTCTGAGATTTTTTTCACTTCTTCCAGCCACTTCCCTGTAAAGGCTTCACCATCCTTTGTGACAAACATGATTTCATTCCTATTTAAAGCAACATCGGACATGAAGACTTGCCGGCCATACACCCAACGACATTGCTTCATGGAGCTGTTAGATGATTTCCAGCAAAACACCTATAATTGTTTCAGTGAAAGAGGAAATCTTCATATCATATAAAAGCAGTTACATATTGCATGCCACCTTTTTAAGCATAAGAACATGCCACCTCAAAGCTGCATATAAAAGGAGAAAGACATTCTTCAAAATTATACTCTAAAGTGTTATGAGCATCTATTACAAAGAACCCACATGTGATACAGGGAAAATCTCCTATGATATCAAGATCCATTTGTCCTTGAAGGGCATTTGAAAAGTTTCTCTGAATATTCAAACATCTTCACAGCATTTGGAATGGAGACCATGACCAAACACACACTTCAAAACATTCAAGAGAAACATGCAGAACTACATGCACAGCAGGACCCCAACAAGGGATACTGCAGATATCTGAAAAAAACAAGCGTGTAGCAACAATCCCACACAAGGTAAAGCCCTGATGTGGCATTAGTGGTGCTGAAGTCAGGTTTTCACATTCTCTCATTGAAGGACCTGCACAGGTCTTTTCCCCTCTTTTGAGCCCTACAGAATCCCATAATGGTTGAGGTTGGAAGGGACATCTGGGGGTTATCCAGGCCGAATCCCTGTTCTAGCAGGCCCACCCAGAGCCAATGAACAAGTCCAGACAGCTTCTTAATAGCTCCAAGGATGGAGATTCCACAACCTCCACGGGTAACCTGTGCCAGGTGCTGATGTTCAGAGGGAACCTCCTTCATTCCAGTTTGTGCCCGCTACCTCTAGTTCTGTCACTGGGCACCACTGAAAAGAGCCTGGCTCCATCTTCTTTACATGTTGCCTTCAGGTTTGTATATACACTGATAAGATCCCCTTAGAGAGAGCATTCTCTTCTCTAGGCTAAACTGTACTCTCTTAAAGAGAGTACAATCAAGCCAGATCAGGAAGCGCTGATTCAGGAAACAGAAGTATTAAGATCCCAGCTCTCTCCTTACTCAATAATTTATACTGACTTAAAGCACTAAAGATCCCAGCATTTGCCAGTATTCAGCATGGAAAGATATGTAATGTAGGTTGACATAGTTCCTCTGATGCAGAAAGACAAAGTAGATTCTTACTGCTAAAGCAATGCCCCAGAGATGCTGAAGGGGCACTACCAATAGTACAGATGCTAGAGGCTAAACCTCACATGAACAAATACTGAACTGGAAGTTCATAATCTCTGAGACACCTAATGACCTAAGAAACAGAAAAGATCACCCCAAAACATAACTGAGTCAAATGCAAGGAAAGAAAAGGAAATACCCACACTGCTCTCTATTTTGACATACAAGCTCAGTTTTTAAGTGTTCTTTAGGAAGGCAGTTTCAGTAACAAAACCTTTTTGTAAACACCACTAGATGGCACTGAAGCTTTAGATCGCCCAGTGAGCACACCTAGAAAAGGCCGGAGTTTTGAAGGATCCTACAAACTGCTACTCTGTGAAAGAATGAGGAAAGGAAACAATAAATCCATCACAGTATTCCAGTTGTGAGTCTACACAGTGTCTGCACTTAACTGTAAATACTAAGCCATTCGCCAGGTTTAGCTGCAGCTTTTCAACAATAAAAGGGACATCTCATCTGCAAAACAGCTGTTTTTCAGGAAAGGCTCTAAAACCTCAAGTCCACAGACTACTTCTGAAGGGCATGAAGGTGACTGGGTAGGTGGGGTGAAAGGAGAGAGAGAGAGAGAGAGAAACAGAGAGAGAGAGAGAATGAGAGAGAACACCCCAAACTAGACTATGTCTGCTATATAACCACTTACATATGTAAAGAAGTTTACACCTTCACTGAAAAGCCATTAGATTGTGAACATATTTAAAAATATACCACTGAACATTACTTCAGTAGTCTTCCCACAGCCTTTTAAAGAAAAAAAAAAATCACTAGCAGCTCCACAGAAATGAACTCTATGCATTATTCTGTCCTGTCAACTTCTTATGTTTAAAGTTTGATTAATTCATATGCAGCCTGCTATACAACTGATTTCCAGTAACACAACTTACTCTTCCAGCTTCATCCAGTGCTAGAATGCAAATCTTCTGACCCCCATTTTCTTTAAGATGCTGAGTATCTACTTTATATTCCAAATATCCCCCATTAACAAGAACTTTTTTAAGGTTCAGCTGTCTGAAAGAACACAAAAGGTTAAATTAGTATTTCTTTATTGTATACTGATGTTGTCTCTATGACAGTTACCTTTTTCATTTAAAGAAGCAGTAAAAAAAAATATAGTTGAGGTAGCAACAGTGAAAAGTTACTTAAGTCTAATTTCTCACCACTGGTACTACTAACATAACTGCTAATAAAACCCTATTAGTAAACTGTAATTTTTCCATTGCTTTTAAGTAAATCACATCATATCCACAGGTTCTTTGCAAAATTCTGTATGTGAAAACCAGTATGTGATTTAGCTTTGACAAAAATTATAGTGGTATAAATTAGCTGTCTGTACTAAAAGACTTATGCAATTCCATAAGGTTTTTGGTGGAATTTTTTTTTACCTGATTAAAACCATGCAAGTTCTATCTTCTCAGTTTCTTAGTATACGAGCGCAATACATGGTATTACGTTTCTTCAAGTGCCAGCACTTGGAGATCACACTTACAACCATGTAGAAGATGAAGTATAAAACATGTTATATCATTAAGATATAATATGTTAGTAAATACTGCTGGAATTTGAAGTGAAGCTGAAAAGCTAACTGAGAGTTAGCTGGGGAAAAAAACATCATAGAGTCATACAAGTGATAGAACGGTTTGGATTGTAAAGGACCTTACAGATCATCCAGTCCAACCCCTGCCATGGGCAGGGACCCCTCCCACCAGTCCAGGTTGCTCAAAGCCCCGTCCAACCTGGCCTTGAACGCTTCCAGGGAGGGGGCATCCACAGCTTCCCTGGGCAACCTGAGCCAGTGTCTCACCAACCTCACGGTGAAGAATTTCTTCTTAATATCCAGTCTAAATCTACCCTCTTCCAGTTTAAAACCATTACACCTCACCCTATCACTACACTCCCTGACAAAGAGTCCCTCCTCATCTTTCCTGTAGGCCCCCTTTAAGTACCAGAAGGCTGCTCTAAGGTCTTCCCAGAGCCTTCTCTTCTCCAGGCTGAACAACCACAACATTCTCAGCCTGCCCTCAAAGGAGAGGTGCTCCAGTCCCCTGATCATCTTCACAGCCCTCCTCCAGACTCACTCAAACTAGTCCACATCCTTCTTACGCTGGGGGCCCTAGGACTGGATGCAGGTGGGGTCTTACAAGAGCAGAGGGGCAGAATCGCCTCCCTGGCCCTGCTGGCCACCCTTCTTTTGATGCAGCCCAGGATGAGGTTGGCTTTCTGGGCTGCAAGAGCACACTGTCAGCTCATGTTGAGCTTCTCATCAACCAACACCCCAAGTCCTTCTCCTCAGTGCTACTTTCAATCCCTTCTTCACACAGCCGGTGTTGGTGCTTGGGACTGCCCCAACCCATGTGCAGGACCTTGCATTTGGCCTTGTTAAACTTCATGAGGGTCATATTAGCATGAAATGCTAATTACCTCTACTAATCTGTTCTTGCAAGGTAAGTAAGAGAACGGGATCAAATAATTTTCAAAATTTGAGTTACAAAATTACCAGTTTCAATATTTTTAAACCTATGGCACAAAATATTTTCTCTTAGTATGTTTTTTTAAAATATCTTTGGTAAATGTGTGAATAGCACATTAGCCTCATCTAATAATAAAACCAAATAAACAAACAAAATAGCCACAGTTCATATGAAAGAACTGACAAAGAAGAAAACCTGGGAGCACTGTATTATCACTACGTTATGCACAAAAATTTTTAAAATAGGTTGCATGTGTAAGACTGCAGTGAAGTCTTCACCTTCTGTTCTTCATGACAAATTAGAAAAGTCACACATACTTTGAAGCCATCTTTTTGCACTGGTAGTCTGCAAGTAAATAAATATCTCCTCTTTCAGTAACGCATACTGTAGCGCCATCGCTTGCAGAGACCAAAGACAGAGAGATATCTTTATGGTGTAGAGCAGAAACTTGTCGAGGTGCAGTTACACATTTTTCTCCATTAGGATCCAGCAGATAACCTAGAAAAGACAACACACCCCAAAACCATTATTTGCTATTCCACACATTGCACATTGAAAGGACACTTTGCTAAACTACTGTGAAGAACCTTTAAATTCTGAAAGATTTTTTAGGTAGTTAGATAATTCTTCAAAATAATTAAGAGACCCACCACACATACTTTTTAGCTCACCACAAACATGAGAAAACACTCAAGATTTGATATACAAAAAATTAAGTAAGGCATATTCTACAAGGAAAGCTATTTAATGTGGTTAGACTCTGTAGTGGCACTGCCTTTGATTCAAAAGAAAGAAAAATTTATTTGATCATATTACAGTTCAAGACACTAGAAATACTCTCACACTTGCATAAACTACAGATTTTTTCAGCCATTGGCAGTTACCAAAGAAGCTTGTCATAAAAATTACTGTAAATGCACGTAAGATAGGCAGTTACATGAAACAACAGACAAGGTTGGAGCTGTAATGTAGTCTCTGAATAGACACATACAAAAAAAATCAGGTTATTGCTGCTCTGCTGCATCAAGAAACCTAACACAAAGAATCTCATACATAATGTAAGTGCATAGAGAGCAGGGTTATGTCTGCACCACAGAGTGGATCTGGGTATGAAAATCCAGGAAAAAGGAGCTGAGCTACCTCTACAGCTGGAAGCAACCCTGTCATATTACAGTGCAGTGCTATGTCAAAATACCTTACAGAGGGAAGGTTTATTACCACGGGTCTATCAGATTGCCCAGCTGACACAACTACACCACTTATGATCCAATTACTGTCTCCATATGGTACTGCAACTGCAACAGGCCACGTGCACACCAGAGTAATCTCAACAACACAAGCAACTACAAAACAATTTATAATTTTTTCACATACCTTCGCATTCTTAAATAGGAACACAAAAAATTGTCTGAACCTGATACAGTTAATCTGCTTCAGTTCTGGCAAGTACCAGAGCTAGCTAACAGTTTTGTTTGCACACAGATACAGAACTGCAGAAATGCAAATCCAAAGCAATATTGCAATACCTGTTTATTGAAGAAGATAAAAGCAATTAAAACATCCCACTCATACAAGAAATCAAGAAGTTCGCTAGATGATAATACATTTCTATTAGGTTCTTTCTTGACTTCAGAATAATACTTAGTTAAGTGAAGATTTTGGTAATGGCGTTGTTGAAAAAAAATTCTAGATATGGTCAAGCATTTCAGTTGAAAAGTTCAGTAGAAAAAAGTTATCAGTGGCATGTTTACAGTGTGTGGTGAAAGAAGGACATAGGCAGGAGAGCTAAATGCTAGTCTATAATTATTAAGGGCAGTACCAGCCAGACTGCTGGAAGGAGATAAGCGTGCCTTGGGCTAATTTGCAACACAAACCAGCAACATTCTGTTTCCTAAAAGTCCTCAGTGGCAGAACCACACAAAACACATAGAAAGCGGAAGAATTGTAAAGAGTTCAAATAACAGAGCTAAGTTCAACCAGCTCCCATCATCTGAAAACGTGAAAGTGTCTGGCAGTAATGAAAAATATTCTTCAAAACGAGCGTGAAGGGATGATGTCATCAGACTGGCTTAAAAAAATTTAAAAAGAAAGATAAGAGAAAGCTTTAATCAGGCTTCTGTTGTAAGAAGCAGATGACAGCTTTTGTATGAATAGCATCTTTTCATGGCTGGGTTTTACTTTCAGAACACTTCTACCTTACCTAGTTGGCCGCCATTCAGCCCCATGGTATACACTGCTTCCTTAGTCCATAGCACTGTATGGAATCTGCCTGCAGCCACTCCAATCACCATTCTACCTTTCAGGTTTTTTGCCTGAACCTAAGCACAAATCCAAAGTACATCTTAATATTAAGCAGCAACACGTGTATTTCAAATGTACACAGTTCTGACAACATTTAACTTCTAAAGTCATTAAGAATGAAGCATTGCTACCAACCCACATACAGTCTAGTAAGTCAGGATTACTTCATAAATTTGTCAAGTGGAACACTACTATACTAATCACAAAAAGAAATAAACTTTTTACATTATCTAATCAGGACTAGAATCAAATTTCCTTGGGCTGTCTTCACATGTAAGGTGTTGAACAAGACTGCACAGGATATGTATAAGACAGCAAAAAACAACTCTGGTGCTGTGAAAGTGGCAGCTACAAAGTTTCAGCTTCTAAGTCCTAATGCCCTAAACACACTACAGAACACTATACTATGAGGACAGGCTGAGACAGCTGGGATTATTCAGCCAGGAGAAAGAAACAGTTAACTATTTAAAATTGAGATGTATAACACAGAATCAAGATTTTATCTGAACTCACATTGGACTTCATTGTTCTGAAAACGTTTAAAAGTTATTTCCACAATCTTCACATTTTACTTTCTGTTAAAAACAAACAAATAACTAAGCTTTGACTGATGACATTTTTACCTGTCTAGGAACACTGCAGTTAGCAGGAGGAGGAAGAATACCCAATTGATGGAAAGTATTTAAACCAAACGTGTAAACATATCCATCGTCTGTTAGAACAACAGTATGATCCTTAGCTGCAGCTATCTGGGAGCACTGATGGCCTCCCAAGCCTTCCACAAGTCTTGGAACCTGAAAAAGAAAAATTAAGTATTGATATAAAAATATACTGGTTTGATATTAACCAGTGGCCATCTATGAAACTGAAGTTGCAACAACAGTAAGTCATTACCAAATACTGAACTACAGATGAAAATGTATCTGAACACAGAATACACTCATTAACATAATTACCACATCCAGTGCAATAAGATGAACTACTTTAATTTGAAATGCATCCTCTGCTATCAGGTGAGATGATTTTAAACCTACCTGCTCCAAAATTAGGTTGGAAACTATATCTTCAAGACAGCTGTACAAAACTCACAAGTAATAAAGATTTCCCCCTTGAAAAAACAGGATAATCCTAAGAAAATTCCACAGAATAAGGAAGCAGTTCCGTATCTTTGACTATTCATGCACTGTAACGTGCGTTCTTCTTTATTCAACTGGGTAACGTCCCAATTTCAAAACATCAATTTGCAAAAAATTCTAATGTCATAGGATGGCTTTTTTTTTTTTAAATTTAAAATTTTTAATTTAAAAAAAGCTTTAAGAATTGAGCTTGTCTTCACTATAACATCCAGCACCATAACATCAAGTTCTATCAGATACCTGATATTAAGAATTTTTAAAAAATACTGTGTTGCATACCAAATGCTCACTACCAGGCAGTGTGCACAGGAAGGGACACTGAGGTCTAAGAATTATATTCTCATTGTATCTTGGTCTCCTCAAATGTAGTACATTGTTCCAACATGCAAGAACAACTCAAATGAAAATGACAAGTGAGTTTTCACATAATAGTTGTGCAACTCCAGTAAGAAGCAACCCTAACATCACTTTTCATGCCACTACAACTCCACCATACTGCCCTTTCCTGTGTGTCAGCCTTGATGTTCATCAGATGGCATCATAAACCTACTTAAGAAGTCAGCCCAGCCAAAACCAATTTGCTTCCACTTATCTGGCATCAGCTAGCCTTCAAAACAAGTCAGCCATAACACAGAAGTTTGACTGCAGTACCTAGCTATCTTAAACTAAATTATATTTAAATGCACAATATTCTACTCTCTGCCACCTCACCAAAAGTACTGGAGAGGTTTTTTTCTGTTACTTGGTGGGAAGCAAGGGGGTTTGTCTGAAATCAACAGCAAACTGATTTTGAAGGTACACTCACACAAACTCTAATTCAATTTTTAGATTTGCTGTTTGAAATAAAAGTATTATGCTAGACTACACAAGATAGCAGAAGACAGCATACCAGGCATGTTTGTTCATCACCATGACCCAAGCGTCCTCCTTGTCCATGTCCACATGTATAAACTTGACCTTTGTGGGACAGGAACACGGAGTGGAATTTGCAGAGTACGACCTGAAAGAAAAAGGGCAAAAATGGGTGAGGAGGAGGCAGTATAGGACAATTTTCACCACCAAAACTACTTTGTGAAGACGTTCAGCTTTAATAAAGATCTGTTTGAGAAAATACGAGTAAAATAGTAGTATTAAAGCACAGGACTGCCAAATCAAGTCACAAAGAACACAAAATATTTGCTTTGAATTTATTATGTATTGCCTTAACTTACTTGGAGAGACCTACGGTTTGTATTTATTAAAGTAAGTTCAAGCATTCCCCTACAGGCTAACAGAAGCTCAAAAGACTGACTATTAAGAGCTGCCTCAGAAGAGCTGAAGAAAACATGTTAAGACTGTAGCAGATTGTCTGTCCTCAATTTATTATTCAAGTTGTACTTTAAGCCTTCAAACGTTCTTAAACTGAAGTCCTAGGAACAGAGCTACTGTTACAGGAAGAGTACATGACAGCACATGCTGCTTTCAACACACGAGGAATTTTAATTCAGCATGCATCAAACAGATTCAGTGTCCCACTGCAGTTCACTATGGGAGTTACACAAAAGGTCAGAAATTCGAAAGTTACAGAAGTCTCATGCTTCTGAATTTATTTAACAATATACAAGCCACATATTCAAGATAAATCATATCAAAAACCATTCTCCCCACTGAAATAGAGAACCACAATTGAACTGAGGGTGACTGGGGAGGGACGAAGCAGCAAGAATGTAATACAGCAGGTCTACTCTAGTACTCCTTAGCTGCTCTAAGCTGATTGTCAGATCAATGGAAACTGCTTGCTGAGAAATAACCAGGAAGAAAGAAAAGGAGAGGGCAGACAAGCAAAAAAAGCAAACACAACAAAAACCCCATAGACACAATTATTTTTTTAGTGTCAATTTTCAGAACTTGGTAACATCTTTAACAGTTGCTTACACACACACACACACACACACACAAACACACAGACTACTCCAAGTTCACTGAGAAATGTGCCTATGTCATACTTTCAGAATACCTGTTTGATATACACGCCATTCCGAGGAAAAAGGTCCACCAGTTCAGGATGATGTTTACCCTGTTGACCACCATGACCCAAAGTAAAATTTATATTGCTTCCCCAGGTGTAGACTTCCGTGGGATCTGCAACGAAAAAAATTACCTCTGTAGCTTGTAAATTTAGCAGTCTCATACGTGACTTTGAAAATCAGCTCCTGCTGCTTCTATTTAAAATTTAAAGAGGAAAGCTGTTCTTACTTAAAATTGAACTTTTAAAAGTTTTATTTTTCTGAGAATTTTTTTCCTTTTAAGTCAGTCATTATTCCTTCAGTTTTACTACACGTGCACATCCTGTGCCTACTGCCAGGATACTGGCACCTGCTCTCTTATGACATTAGAGACTCCACATCATCAGAGATCTCATAACTTACACAGTCCTAATTAGAAACAGAAAATATTGCCTACACTGGTACATGCATTGTGATATTGTTGACACATATCTCCCTGTAAAATACAATTTAAGCCACTTGATTTCCTACCAGTTTTCTTGAAGACCACATGGATTGGCCTATCTTTCATCACAAGATCCAGGGCTGATAAGCCTTCCTTATCCTGAACATACAGACTAACACCATGCTGAAAGAGAAGAGGAAGAGATGAAGAGAAGGAAAAAAGTTTAAAATGTTAACTTCACAGCTTTAAGTATGCCAGGTAAACTTGTAAGGAGCTAAACAAATCTTTATTATTAATAAAAGAAAATCTTCAGACTCTTTCAAGTAAATTGTAAGCAGATCTGAAAAAGAAAACCAAAACAGTGCCATTCTGTTCAACTACATATACAGCATGTTGATCTATTGACTGGGATTTTGCTGTATGAATACTGACTGAGCAATAAGATGTAATCAAGGTAACAAAAAGGAAACACACTTGAAGATAAAGCCTCTATGAAGGGCAAGTATTTACCAAAAATGCATTTACCAGCTTTGCAGAATGTTTTCTTATACTGGCCTGTTTACAGACTCAGTTTTGAGCAGCTGGAGAAGTGAGAAGATAAAAAAAACCTACTATGGCTTTGAAAACAAGCAGGGAACAGTGGATCACAGCTGCTGAGAAAGGGCAAGAGGACACAACCAGCCAGCTAAAACAGCAGCAAGGAAGCTTCAGAAGCACAGAGGATGAAGAGGTCATTGCTTTAGAACACTGAGAGGGGTAGATATTCTCTGTAAGTACCATTTTCTCAATACAAAAAAGTGCTGCTACACCAGCATTGGTTTTAAGGAAGACAAGTGTCAATCAGATCAGTGAAGGGAAGTTCTGTGCCCAAGTAAACGTAATGGATAATTTGGTTGTACCTATGCACTACAGCTCACAGTAAATATAAAATAAAACCTTACAGAATTTCATACTTAAAAGATAAACACATGAAATACAAAATTTAAGGGAGCACAATCCATTCCAGCATGACAAGACAGCCAGCCGCATCTGCAGTAGGGCTTTAACCTGCTTAACCATTTGGAAAAATACCAGCCAGAAGAACATACATTCTTCAAATTACAAAGGCAGCCTTAATAGCAACAATGTATTAATTCACTGTATGACAGACCTAATGTTATGATTTAACAGCTGGATATTCTTCTCTTAGGCAGATGCACAGGTCATTTACAAGCAAAACAGAGGTAGTGATATTCACATGGTGTGAATTTGTAAAAACAAATCCCAATTGCCGAGTGGCAAAACCTGTAGTTAGATACAGTCTGAGAACAAGCCATGACTGCTTCCATCCCACAGCACAAGTCCCTCATACACACTACTTGAGTACCCCAGGGATTGATATCAGAGCCAGTACTATTTAACATCTTCACTAATGGCCTGGATAATGGGACAGAGTGCACCCTCAGCAAGGCTGATGATGATACAAGACCAGAAGGAGTGGCTGATAAGTCAATGAGTTGTGCTGCTGTTCAGAGGGACCTCAACAGGCTGGAGCAATGGGCTGAGAGGAACCTCATGAAGTTCAACAGAGAAATGCAAATCCTGGCCCTAGGGAGGAACAGCCCAGTGTACCAATACAGCTGAAGGCCGACTGCCTGGAAAGCAGCTTGGCAGAAAAGGATCTGAGGCTCCTGGTGGACAACCAGTTGACCACAAGCCAGCAATGTGTCCTCATAGCTAAGAATGGTGAGAGCATCCAGGGCTGCATGAGGGAGTGTTGCCAGCAGGCATTACTCAGCACTGGCGAGCCAAAGCTGGAGTGCTGGGTTCAGGTCTGTACTTCCCAGTACAAGACAGACATGGACACAAATTGAAATAAAATCAATTCTGTTTAAATCCAAACTCCATTTTTACAGGGCTAATATTAAAACACTGGAGCAGAGGTGTTTGAGACCCTGTCCCTGGAGACATTCAAAATCCAACTGGACACAGTCCTGGGCAACCTGCTCTAGCTGACCTTGCTTGAGCACAGGGGTTGGACCAGACAGTCTTCAGAGATCTCTTCCTAGCTCAGCTATTTCATAATTCTATTCTATAATCCCTTCCTGTTGTACTGCATTATAGAAAGGTATTACAGCAACATTGAGAGACTTCAGTTAAGGAACTAGGAGGTAGAGCACCCTTCATGAGCTGTTTCATTTTGCTTCTTAGAGGAGTATCAGCAGAAGTAGCTATCAAAAAAAATCTCATTTATACAGCTGACAGAGGAGTGAAATATGCTTGGGGAAGCCTGTATAGGCCTCCTGAAAGCAAATATCAGAGACACAGATATATATACACACACACTAGAGGACTGAATGCTTTTTGATACATCACATACACAGTTGCCAGTTTTCCAGAGAACAGAATCACGTATGATTCTCACACAAACACCTACTTTTGTGAATTTTAATTAAAACCCCCACACTATGTAAGGGTATGGCACATGAAATCCATACTTAACATTTACCAGACTGTCAGGAATTAAAAAACTACTGGATCCACAACCATTTTGCTTGTAGAAAGCAGAGTTTAATGGCTAGTCATTGCCATTTAAAAAGGCTGAACTAAAACCAGAAAATTCTCTGTCTTGAAAGGTTTTCTTTTAAGTTTTTCTTTACTCTAAACCACAAATATTTCATTTTCTCATGTGGTTAAAGAACCCTGAACATCTTGAGTATACGTAGCTCTTCCCTTTGTTGTACTTGGGACAGCAGGAAGAGAAGAGCAATCCAAAAATACATACAACTTGCTAAGTGGTAGGAAAGAAACAGCAATTGCAAGAAAGGAATGGGGGGACTGAGCAAAAGCCATGGTTAAAGCATTATTAAACTGCGAATTGCTTAATAAAATGCTCTGTATCTTGAAGTGCTTATCTCTCAAATGTAAGATTCATCTCTAATTATAACTCCAGTTAAGCTTTTACTATTTTATGTTCCCTAAATCACTAATTGGTATAAGTACTGAAGAGTCTATTTTTAGAGTATCTTTAGTCTGATCACTCTCCACTTTTAAGATCCTGACCCTGATATCATCCGCACAAACCAGTCTTCAGGGAAATCCACAATTAATCAGGGATCCTTACTCAGTGCTGACTTCAGCATGGTCAAAGGCAGACATCTTTTACGAACACAGAGAAATTTCAAGTAAACCAATGCACTGTGATCTAAACGCAGTATTAAGACTACCCCCAAGAGGCTTTCAGGCAAGTTCAAAAAACCTACTTTTACATAACAAATACAACTCTAAAAATTGGAGATACCAAGGAAAACCATGGCTATAAAGCACTCACCTTCAGTAATGACAGAACGCAGTCAATGTATCCATAAAATATGCTTCTGTGCAAAGCTGTCCATCCAGACTCTTTGTCTTTCGCCAAGAGATCTACTCCTTTGGTCTCAGCCAACCAGTCTAGCACACCTTTTTTGCCACAAGATGAAGCAAGATGAATAACGTTTCTACCAAAGGCATCTTTTATGGTTGCAGCATTGTAGCAGTAAGAAGAGAGAAAGGCCTTGATCTGGCCTTCACTTCCTCTGGTTACCACAGAAATAACATCCAAAGCATGCTGTAGAGATCGACACTTTGAAGTGCAGTCTGGCATGAAAGCACTCATCTTCACTTCTGAAGCTGCTCCTCTCCTTAAGGGGAACAACCCTTAGGTGTATCAAGGCACTCCAATTCAGTACACAACACGGTGCCCTAAAAAACTTGTAATTCCAAGGGTATAAATCCAGTTTTATTGAGCTGCCATTAGAAGTCTTTGTACTGTTGTGTTTGGCACTTGATAGAAGTAAATATTTATAAATATATATTTTTAGAAGTCTTACTTCACCATCTTATATAACAAATATTCTTGTCCATAGAAAAACTGCAAAAGTGAACTACCTCAAGTGTGGAGAGGGGGATTCCCCCTCCACACCACCTTATTCTTCTAACACTCCATAATTGCAAGGGAGACCTGAAAGAGAACAAACGAGAACAGATCAGTCAACAAAAATTCTATTCCCCAGCAACTGTACCAATTTAAATGCATATCAAACTAGTGCTTGCAAATACCGTAGCAAAGTAGCAAGGGTTAACTGACCTGCCCCGTGCCATCTGAGCTTATACTCAGGCATTCAGTCAGTTTAAAAAGACCTGACTCCACTCCTCACCCCAGCCTCCAAAGGTACCTCCTTCCTTCTTTCTCTGACATAGATGTCTGAGGCTACACAGTGAACTGCATCCAAAAAAGTCACCTGAAGAGGAAAAAAGATGTTTGCTTTCTCAGCCTTAGGGTCCTTAGAACCCTCATAGTCTGCTGGCTAATTGTGTCATTACTTTGTGATCAGAAAGCAAGAACTGAACTAAAAGGCTGCTGGGGGGGTGGATAAAACCAAAAACCACCCACTCACCAAAAAAAACCCCAGAGCTGTTGAGTAGATCTTGGCAAACAGAGTCTTTGTCAGCCACACTCACAAGAAGGAAAGGACTACCACAGCTTCCCTTAGCCACCGCAAAAAGGAATTTTTTTCTTTCTTTCTTTCTTTTACTTCTCTGTTCCCTGGCCTGAATGCCTACCCATCTCCCTGCTAAGTCTCTCCTGCAGAACCAACAGGAAGGCTCCTCTCCACCACAAATGAGAGAGGAAGGATCACAACAGAGCAAAGAAAAAAAACCTGCATGAGAGCAGTGAATTCAGACTGTTAGCACTTAGGCAGGGCAAAGGTCTAAAGCTCCTGAAATAAAGAGGAAGAAATGAGGATCTAGGTTGGAAGGGATAAGGGAGGAAGAAGAAGGGAAAGGAGGCAAAGATACAAATTCTTGTTTATGAAAATATATCTACAGTCTGGGGCATACAGCATTTCTGCTTATCTGTGCATAGCTATCTTTAGCACAGCCATCTTTCCCTTGCACTCACTTTCTCAAAATTAAAGAAAGCCTGACAGAAGCACTCAACCTATTAAATGCATGCACTTATCTTTAAAAGCACCACAGTACAAGAAATGCAAACAGTACTATAAAAATCACACATAGACCCATCAAAAAAAGGAAAAAAAACAACAATACAACGGGTACTGCTCCCAGAAAAATTCACGCTTCAATCTTTTCAAGCATAAGCTGCAAACTGAGTGAAGTAGTATTCAACCACGTTCAACTCCTTGATGTTTTTGCTTGCTGTGGAAACTGTAGTTTAAAGTTGTTTACCAGTGGAGTAAAATATTCCAAAAGAAGTTGGACAATACTACTGTGAAAGATGAATAAATAAAACTGAATACCTTAGTAAACCCTCAGGAAAACAAACAAACAAAACAAACAAACAAAACAAACAAACAAAACCTGCTGTCTTTCCAGCTCAGCAGTCATTATACAGTAACCATGTGCACAACCCACCTCATTCAGGAGGAATTAAATACTTGGAATGGAAATCTACAGATCAGAGTTGTTCAGTATGTACCTTCAAAACAATTTCAAAGAGCAGGCACATGAAAAACAAAAAAAATATAGTTTTATATTCACTACCATTTAGTCCCTCATTCATGTCCAGCAGAGACCAGAACTGACCACAGCTGTTTAACTTACATTTGTCACAGCAAGCTTGAGTTCACTCTACAGGGCCTTTTACAACCAACATAAAAACTTCTGCAGTAACACAAGAAGTTGAACAAGTCCTACTTGTGTGGACTCTTCTCCTTTCACGTCCTCTACAGCCTCTGACTATAAAGAAAAGTGAATTACTGTTGTAATCTTGTAAAAAACCCTCTAGTTCGAAGAGCACAGCCTGCAATGCTTCTCCAAGGAACCAGCGTGTGACAGGGGACTGCAATCAGCAGACTCAGATTGCCAGTGCATCAAACACTCCTCTAAATAGTAATATTTAAAAATAAAAAATATGGAGATCTATAGGAAAAACACCAGAAGTGCTATTATCCACAAACCAATTTGACCCATTTCATCAATAGGCCACTAGGCAATAAAATTATGCTGTGGAAGAAGTACAAAACTTACATGTGTCTCGTAAAGCACATCTTACATATAATTTATTCTTAAGAAAGAAAAGGAAGAATAATAAGAACAAAGAAGAATTCCTCAGGCGAGTCATAAAATAAAGTTCACTACTCTATTAGGTAAACTGGTACGAAATGTCACCACCACTCAAGGAAGCAGTCCTGCCGTGCCTCATGCCATAACTTCCTTAGCGCAGTACACACCTATTTAAGACACTAAATTGCACGAACCAAATGAATCAGAAGAAAGTCAATTCTGGTGCCAAAGAAACTTGTGCCATTACAGAAAGGGGACAGAGAGGTCAGAGAAAATCTTCTTTAAAGCACCTGAGCCCTGGCCTCACCAACCACCAAAATACTATGGACAACAAACCACACATGTTAGAAGAATAAGAAGCCTGCTATTGGATAGAAACACAACCCTGCCCACCTCACACTAACTTCATTACAGTGACATTTACTGCAGCTATGTGAAATCTTACCCTGCTGAATTATTTCTTTGTAAGTCATTCTAGCCCAGCCCTCCTTTACTATAAACATTACAACACCAGATATTGTATTAGTACACTGACACATACACCTTGAGTTTCAAGACAAAAGGCTATAGATCAAGTTTTCAACCTTCACAATAAAGAGTGGCACACCAATAATATACACTACCATGGTATTACAACATCTGAAAGAGGTTAATCATCAGATCAGGCTATTTTTATATACAAAGTAGGTCCCTATGCGAAACCTTAAAACTTGAAAATTGTGAACTGGTGCTCACATCTGTGTGAAAACCTTGTAATTGCTGTCCAAATGCTTACTTATAGTATACAGAGTTCCAGATAAATGATGAGCACCTAAAATATGCACAAAATAGGAACACCACCAGCATTTTTTACAATTTGACTTGAAATGTGTAGAACACAGTGCCCTTTTGCTTATGTGTTTCTGCTTTTATTTGTAGCAATGTCTGGAGGCTTCTCAGCACTAATCATGTTCATGCTATAATATCAGTATTTTCCTAATGCTCTAATTATTAAAAGACATAAATTGCTAAATAAGATTATAATCTTTTAAACATTTTTGTGATATAATATGCATCATCTGGAATTAAATTTCTTTGAAAAAGCTGATTCCTGATTAATATTTTTATTATAGAAAATATTAACAAAAAATGGAGGAATTGAAGTGGCATTCAGAGCAGCCCAAAGACGGTTATTTCAGCAGCAAGCAGGTTTCTAATTTTTTCCCTCAGAGACATGAGCTATGTATTATACACATTCACAGCCCAGGAACATTTAAAGGTTACAACCCACTTGGGAGCAATTCTTAAGAAGCAAGAAAGTGTGTGTGATATCTTGCCTCCTGGAAGTGAGTAGGTAGAGTCCTCTCACTCAGCTACTTCCCTCAGAGAAGGCAAAGCACCACTGCTGTCAGACACCCTCCAAGAAGGATTGTGTCAGATGTGTCATCCGACCTTATGGAGTCGGAACTCCTACGGCTGAAAAAGCAGCTCTCTACCTACAGTGGCTGTCTTGAAAATCCCTCTTTCTTTCAAGAAGTCACTACAAATAGGCAAAAGATTTGGCACTCTTTTGCTAAAAAGTCTAAAATCCAAGCTGTCACACCTCTCTTGAGCAGGAAATTAAGATCTGACACACCTGTAAGACTGAGCTAACAAATACCTTAATGGCTAATGATGATGCTGGTAGTTTTCATTTCCTGCAACCAGGAGAGGGCAAATGTGAAATCGTGAGAATCTGGTCAAACACTGGGAAAAATGAGCAGAGTTGGCAAAAGCTTTCCACTGTGGAGTTCCAAAAATCTCTCCACATGTCAAACCCGAGGGTGGGTTAGTGGTCTTCAGGTCCAAGGGTTCTGTTTACCTATTTCTGTTATTCAAGATGCTTCCCAGAATAGATCAAAAACTATATAATCAACTGTATTCTGGTAATATGAAATCTCACCAAAAATTAAGCTAGAAGATCACTGTAACACAGCTTTAGGGCCCCCTACTATGTATCTGTTTCTTAGTCATTGTCTTACAGAAGACAAACAAGGCAGAGCATATTCAGCACAAGCTTTTGTGATGCTCAGAACACTGACATTTAGCACAGAGGCCTCACAAGCTATTGGATGAAGGAAAACACCATTTCCACATCCGTAGGATCATGTTCGACATCAACACATTCCCAATTTTCTTTTTTCCTAGAAAGCATTTCCAATGAGGTTGCATGCTCTTGACCCAAAGGTACAGCTATCAGAAGAGAAACAGCAACCAACCCTCACCACATGGTTGGATGCCAGAAACGTATATTGAAACTGGCGATCTTGGAGGCACAGATTTGATACTAGAATTCATATTTGTGGTCTTTCAGATTCATCCTAATGAAGGTCTACACTTAGTCTAGCAAAATCAGGCTAACATGGGTGTGGATACCAGTACCAAGGCAGTGGTTAGTAGCTCCTGCTGTGGGTTTTTTCACCTTAGTAGCGACAATGGTCTCACATGGAAGTAAAACAGAAAACAGAAGAGGTTCAGATAGTTTGAATTCAGTGTCGCTTGAAGACAGATTGCTGGTTTTGCATCTTCCATGTGCACTGCATTAAAGTAACTCAACTGGCAAATTAGTGA